TTTAAAGTCTCAGGCTCTAATTGGGTGACAACCCTTTAAAAATTCATTACAAAACCGTTTTGACTTTACCTATTATTTCTTTTTCTTATATTTGAGCCGTGTCACGACAAAACCAACATAATGGGTTTGCGATCAGCATGGATCCAGACCAGCCTGCGCGTCCGCGCTGTCTGATCAGGATCCATGCTGTTCGCTATAAGTTTCTCTACTTGTAAAAGAGTTGGTAAGCGAACAGCATGGATTCTGATCAGACTGCTCATTTCTATTTTTTTTTCAATAGATCAAAGTCATGACAAGTATCATAAAACAGATTCTATTTCAATGAAGAACAATTGATGCAAATATTCTATAAATAAGACAAATAAAACAAAAGAGAAAGTTCTATATTTTATTATATTTATTTTACACATAAGTCACTGGCAAAAATAAAGCATACAGCATAAAGTAATATGAAATTAAATGTCCCTCTCCCACAAATTTTGCGATCAATTCCATCAATACTTCCTTTAACCTACTTTTTTGTGTCAAAAATACATGCTATTGGTACAAACAGATATACCTTTAAGCTGGGGTGATTTAAATCATAAGTCTAACCATCCCCCTTACAATTTTCCACTATCTTGTTGAATTTAATATACAATAATTTATCTCATTGACTTATTACCCTACATCCCTACATATCCATGAAAATTACACCCGAGATTCTGAATTTACATAATTGTAAGGAAAGAATTTGATATTATTATATAGAAGTTAAAAACCTTAAGTTACATACTTTTGAAATCAAAAATCATGTTATGCACAAGTCATCTATAAGTCACACACTTTGGGAATGGAGAGATAGATTGGAAGGAGGGACAGTGGATAAAAAACACCCCAGTCTATGGGATTGTTTTGTTTTGGTGCAAAAATACCAGGTCTTATGTTCAGCATGCTGTGAAGGAACAAATAGCCAAAATTTTAACATCTGACTTTGTTCCACTTGCGATGGCACCTGTGCCCTCTACCTGCGAGGGCACTTACCAGCAGTTTAATTATCTAAAAGTTAATGCCTATGTTATCCTAAGGCATCACGAGGGAGCTGTAATTGACAGGTGTATTATATGTAAATATATCTTCATATTTCTGTCCCTGTTTCAAGATCATATTTAAACAATACAGCAATATAAAACAAATCAAGACATTCAATGAGGCCCTAAGTCGCTAACTTGAGTCCCAATGATTCAGTTTATTTAATAGTTGCCTAGATATATTTGAAATTAGGCCATTCTTTAGAATATCAACATTTTAATTTAAATCAAATAATAAAAGTGGAAACCAATGCTGCCACTAGAGACCTCATTTTAATTAAAATGGGAGGGGACCAAATACATGAAATAATGTGAATGAACTTATTTTGTGTCAGATACAAGCAACGCATCTACATTTCAAACATCTAACATGAGGTTAAATCTATGAATGCTTTTATATATAATAAACATGCCTATTTTAGCCTTGAAGAGGTCATACCTTTGAGGTCATTTCAAGATAGACACTAATATTCACAGCTGATCAATGTTTTGTATAACTTACGTTGAAATTCAATCATAAACAAAACAATTACTGCACTGGCAAGCAGTATATGCTTGTTGTGTAGTTTTGTATTTATTTTAAGGGATAATATCTCTAAATTACCAGAAGAAATGAGAACAATTCCCAGAAAGAAACCCAAAGATAATAATGAAACTAGTTTTGAGCAAATTTGGTTCAAATCAAACCAAAGGTACAACTGCTTACATGCAGACAAGGCAAGATATAATATGTATGTCTGTTTGATTGATTCCAACTTAATAATGCATTAAAAAACAAGGTACAGATGCCTACTTGAGTAACAAGTTTAGTGCAAGTTAATTCTAAATCATATCAAAAATCAAACTGCTATTGTGCAAACAAAAAACAACAACAAAAAACCTACAATAAGAATGACTTATTGTATTCCGAGAAACTGTTCACTTATAAAATATGTACAATTTTCTAACTGCTTATGTTACTAATTGCTGAATCATAGAAAAACTTTGACAAATAAAAGTACATAAAATTCAGTGTATGCAAACTACAAATGATTTGTTCATACAATTTTAATTTAATCTATATTCAAATTGCAAGATTTTTTTCCCCATTATTATCAGGTATCAATTACTTCACTAATGACAGCTTCAAATGTTTGCAGATTTGTGTACATTACTACATTTATGTAACTTTTTTTCATAGCTATAAGAAATCACAGGAATATACATAAATATACTGTAAAAAACATATAGTTTAAAAAGCAGGAAATAATTTCTAGGAATACACAATACTTACGGTTTAGGTAAGCTATTATAACAAAACTTCTCTGCATCATTTGAGTTAATACTAATTTATTTTAGTTTGCTATAAGCTTGTTGAAACACTCTTGATTACGTTCCTAGAACCAACCAGTACTAAGCAATGAGTGTTAAGTTTCATGCTCACGGAAATAACAGCTTGCCCCTGACAGAGTTTGAACCCACGTGGCCAGCAATCCTTAGATTACTAGTCTGACTTGGCCCTGCTGCCACTGCATCATTTTTTATTTCAGTTTTTCACATACAAATTCAAAGCTTTAAAAGCTTTTTATGTTGGTTTAAACATATTTATTTAAGCTTGATTGCAAAACAAGTTCTTGCAACTTATATTAATCACTTTCGAGTCTGCTTCCTGGAACCAACCAGTACTGTTGATAAATGAAGAAACATGGTCGTGACCTGATTAGGGCTCGAACCCATGATCCCTGGGTTGAGAGCCAGACACCTCAACCACTATGCCACCACTCCCCGTATGTTAACCTCTAATCTCAAATATTTATCTTTTCAGATCTTTACTGCCTATAAAGATAACTCTGTAAATAATTTTGTAAATCTAATGCATACCAAAACCTTAACTCGTAAGCATTTTGATTTTTCTCCCAAACTGTGGAGTGCAAATTTCTTGACCTTTAAGCAAATTAGAAAACAACAAATATATAAACAACTTAACAAGAAACATTTCTGCAGCTATCACACTTGATTCACTGACATTAATGTTCATAAACAACCAACACTCTTCACATGAGGGCATAGAAATGTGCCGCGCCATGACAAAACCAACCTTATGCGTTTGCAACCAGCATGGATCCAGACCAGCCTGCAAATCTGCGCAGTCTGATCAGGATCCATCCTGTTCGCTTACAAACCCTATTACAAGAAAGGAAACTGATAGCAAACAGCATGGATCCTAATCAGACTGCACGGATGGGCAGGCTGGTGTGGATCCATGCTGGTTGCAAACGCATAACGTTGGTTTTGTCGTGGCGCGGCTCAAATGTGAAAAAAAAATCACAAATTAAATATATAGGTACAAAATGTATATCTTAAAATGCATAAAAATATATACAAATATTTTAATAATTCTTAAATACATCTCATTGCACTTTATAAATATTTACAAAAGTCAATAACAAACAAATTAAATAAAACAATCAAGACATTGTTGCACTTTTCACCTTCATGTGAATAACATTAAGGTTATACACACTAGATATTAAATAATTTTTTTCACTTAAGTGGTAATTTCAATATACCTTTTAAGCACCATGTCTCCAAATTCATGCAAACTTTCTTGAAAACTTTGTAAAAAAAAGGATTTAAAATTTAAAACAATTTACATATTTTGTAAAGTGAATAAAGATTTCAATCTACACAAAATGCAAATTAATCCACATAAATTACCAAAAAGAGGTCTAAATATGCAAAATTAGCCTTATGGTAATAAAGTTAGACATTTATCACATATAACACATTTATTATTACTTGAATCTTGAATCTTTACTTTAAAAATTTCTTAAAGTTCGAGTACATTTATCTCAATTTTATTTATTTATTTTTTTTTTCATTTTGACTTATCTGGAGGTACTTTTAAAGGGACTTTTGACATGATGGGACTGGAATTTTTAAGATTTGTTTTAAGATTAATGTTCCATTTGATGTATTTCTATACACACAATTTGTGTGCACAATTTTATATCATACACTCACCCCGATTTTCAAGAATCATTTCAAAATTAAAAAAGCGTTTCTATGCTTACCTCTCAAATATGGCTTAGAATATCACAAAAATAGTATTTGCAATTTATTTCAGGGAATACTTCTTAATTATCTTTTGCAATTCTTTCTGTTTTATGTATCAAAGCTGAGCTATGTAAAAAACACAAATTTTATGCTTTTCGTCCTTTGAATCTCAGTGGAGTTCCTATAATTTAAATATATTTATTATCTATTTACTAAAGAATATGCTACAATCTTTTCCTCAACATGATCACTATACAAACTATTCGGGGGCTAACCAGTACTGTTGTCAGAAAAGGGACCATGCCTGGACCCTTAAAGGGGCTTGCACTTGTCAATGCCTTGGTAGAGTGGGTAATAACTTAAGCACTAGGTCATCACACTTATTCATCTCTTTGTATAATTAACTTTTACACAGTGGTCAAATATTAAAAAAAAAATTAACAAAATAATTGCAATTAATTTCATAAAAGATGTGCATGGTAACAATATAATGGTTGATTTGTAACATGATTTATGATAAGAAATATAATCTGTAATGTTTAAAATTTTGTATTTTATGACAATTTTGTATTTTTGATGACTTGTAACATAATGTATTTATATGGAATATGATATACTGTATTCATCGTCGATTTGTAAAAGGGTTAATCTGTAACATGTTTCATCTGTAACATAACTTGTGATCTGTACAAAAATCTATGATGGTGTTTTATAACTGTAATATTATGTTTTTATCTGTAACATTATGTTTTTATCTGTAATATGATGTTTTATCTGTAACATAATGTTTTATCTGTAATGTGATGTTTTATCTGTAACATGATGTTTTATCTGTAACATGATGTTTTCATCTGTAACATGATGCTTTTATTTTCAACATGATGTTTCATCTGTAATATGATCTTATCTGCAACAAGATGTTTCATCTGTAACATGATGTTCTTATCTGTAACATAATATTTTATCTGTAACATGATTAACTATAACTGCCATTGTCCCTGGCTATAATACCCCCTCAAGCCATTTTGCCAGGGAAATACTCAACTCGGTCCTTAACAAAATCAGCAAGGGTCAACCTTGCCTACCATTAATTAAGCTATCAATGTATTTATTTTGATTTTCTTCTGTTGTTGTAAGGGCTCAATTTAACACTTGCAAACTGAAAGACCAAATTCAAAAATGAAAGTAACAAGTCCTTACACTCATAAAATTTTACAAGGGAAGCAGAAAGTAAATAAACATAAATTGATGATACATGTTTAAGTGTTTAAGGAATAAAATCTTAACAAACAAAAATCTTATACATGTATGTGCTTATCTAACACTTCCTTACAGATCTCTACATGTATATATGCAACTTTCATTACTCTGTCAACCGCAACAAAACTTTACTACAGCTTAATATATTACAAAGTGAGTATTTGAATGTCTATAGAATCACGAGAGAACAATTACCAGACAGTGGACAGCTAGAGGGCTAAATATCTTCCTATTAATTGTTACTAAAAATAGAATAATTTTGAATGCTACTGTTTTCTTCAGAAAACACTCATACTGATTACATTGCTATGTAAACATTCAAGTGTTGTAAAAAAAAATAACGCAGCCTCTTCATTGACTAATCCCATTAAAAAAAAATTTTGATGATTTTTTTTGTCAACTGGGTCAGAAGAAAGTCTTTGTAAATGGTAAAATACTTATTGTCAAGTATGGAAGAGTTTGAAAAAATTTATATTATGGTAAACATTGATGATTTTGTGACAACAATGTATGCTTTTGATGACAATGTATAGATGTATTTATATCTGTAACACAGTACATATATATTTTATCTGTAAAATGAGGTATTTTTATTTTTAACATTAAGCACTTCATTTGCTTTTTTATTGTAATATGATATATTGTATGTCACTATGTGTAATATGATGTACTGCACATGTTACATGATGTAATGTGCATGTAACATGGTGTAGTATACATGACATGATGGACTTTACATGTAACATGATGAAATGTACGTGTAACATGATGAACTGTGCATGTAACATGATGAAGTGTGAATGTAACATGATGAACTATACATGTAACATGATTAACTGTATATGTTACATGATTAACTGTATATGTAACATGATGAACTATACATGTAACATGATTAACTGTATATGTTACATGATTAACTGTATATGTAACATGATGAACTATACATGTAACATGATGAACTGTATATGTAACATGATGAACTGTACATGTAACATGATGTAATGTACATGTAACATGATGAACTGTATATGTAACATGATGAATTATACATGACATGATGGACTGTACATGTAACAACGATGCATGGTATATGTAACACAATGTTTGATCTATAACAATTTAACATATCTGTAACATGATGTCTATCAGTAAGAATATGTATCTAAAACATGATATATCTATTATAAAGTAACAAGGTGCTACTGTAATGCAATATATTACAATGAAGGAAGTTTGTTTACTGAAATCTGTTATATCACACTTTGACAATCAGACATAGAATAATAATCCTTACAAATTCATACTATTACTAGTAAAAAACATTATCTTTTAAGCTAACAAGAGCACCGTATGTTGTGTTAACGCTTGTCTGTTAAAAATTCTAAGTTAAAAAGAGTCATAACTTCAATAATATTGCTTTCAGAATTATGCCCCTTGTCTAACAACTGCACCTTATCATGATAAGCAGGTATTCCAAGTTTCATGTTGATTACTTTTTGAAACACTTGAATTATGGGCTGCATTGAAGTTTTTGCACAGCGACACCCAGCCATCATAATAGCTTGAATTTTTTTTGTCAGAAACAGACGAGCTTAAGATGCTACATCCTCAAAGAATATAGTAGAAATACCAGTTGTAGTTACACAAAAGAGTAATGATTTTCAACGGCTCTGCCGTGTAGACCCTGTTGACTGCCGTGATGTTGCTGACCTTGCTCCCGCATTACCTCCTCAATGGAACCTGTTGTAGCACGTACAGGGCCACTGATGACAATAATGTCTCGATTTTCAGCACCACCACCGTGACCTCTTGCACTCAAATTAGGATTAGAATTAGATCGCTGTTCCATGTTTCCACCAGGAATAGGGGATCCCCTAGGTGGCGTTATCTGTCTTTCTAGAGAAACTACGTAATCTGTTAAAGTGACGTCCGATGTTCCTCCAGACTCTAGAGGTATAGGGTGCGTACGGAAATGTTCTAACATGTCAAATATTGAGTTAAACCATAAATGTTGCACTCTGCATTGCCCTTCATTGTTTATTGTCATCCGAAGATGCTGAAATAAAACAGAAGAAAACATTAAATGTAAAAATACTGACTTGAAAGTCATAATCACATCAGAAAATTACATGTACAAGTCTTATTCTGTCATGAAAACTGTATCAGCAAGCTTTTAAAACTAATGATAAAACCTTTTTTCACATATATTTTTAATTCAAGCACTTAAGCCCCCCCCCCCCATAAAAATACATATATAATACAAAAAGTACATTAATTTCAACTTTTTTTTATTATAAATATTGCATGATTTTAACCAAAAAAAAGAACTGTCGGAGGACAGTAAGGCTCGACTATTCGAAAAGTTGTCACAAGGGTGTTTCATCATGTATGATAATGATTACATATATGAATACATAAAATTGTCCAAAAAGGTAAAAAGGCTTTTTATTAAGATATTTTATCGAGTAAATCACTGTTTTATTATTATGAATGCATAAAACTGTCCCAAAAAAGGCACAAACCCTTCAGTAGTTATGGAGATACCAGCTTACAAGCAAAACTTTTACCAAAAATTTCTAAGCCGAAAAAGAGGCATAATTATATAAAAAAAAAAACATGAGAATTGGGACTTTAGACAATCATGTTAGATAATCACATAGAACAAGTGTTTGAAGTTTCAATCCATTCCCTTCAGGTGTTATGGAGATACCAGCTTACACGCAATAACTTAACCAAGAATTTTTAAGTCGAAAAAGGGGCATAATTATGCGAAAAAGCAAATCAGAGTTATGGGACATGTGCCAATTATGTTAGATAATCACAGAAAACAAGTATTTGAAGTTTCAATCCATTCCCTTCAGTAGTTACGGAGATACCAGCTTACTCACAAAAACTTAACCAAGAATTTCTAAGTCGACAAAGGGGCATAATTATGCAAAGTAGCAATCAGAGTTATGGGACTTGTGCCAATCATGTAAGATAATCACAGAGAACAAGTGTGCGAAGTTTCAATCCATTCCCTTCAGTAGTTATGGAGTTACCAGCTTACATGCAAAAACTTAACCACAGGGACGCCGATGCCAACAAATGGGTGACTGCATTAGCTCAATTATTCTGCGAATAGTTGAGCTAAAAGGTCAACTCTATACAATTTACTGCTGTACAAAGTATATCATATATTAATTATAAATAATTGTATATATTATTATATCCATCAATTCAATAGAAGAAAATATACAAATTGGTACAATTTCAGAACACTGTCCAATTTTGAACACACAAATATATTTCCTAAAACTTTTTTATCATTATTGCCTACCTTTGCCCTTGCTTGGAAATTAAAGGTAAGAACATATTCTCCTTTCCTAGTCTCACTCTGGCGCACAAGGAACACACCATGACCGCTAGAGCCTTGCTGTAGTACAAGTTGCGCAGCCTCAAGTCGACTGAGTGTACCATGGAACCAAGGGTATTCTCTCAGCATCTGATCTATATTATACTCCCCGCTTATGCTATCATGATGTTCTGTAAAGTTAAAGAGAAATGTACATGCAAACAATAAAAAGATTGTTTAAAGATCCTGTATGTTGTGATCAAAGTGGTAAACCACACTAAGTGAAATTATATGTATGTACATAATTATGCAAATAAAACAATTTTCAAACATCGAAGAATATATAAAATATGTACAGCAAATATTTATGCATAATACATGTAATCATTAAAATATTATATATGCATTCATTTCTTATTGTAAAATTTGACTTTAACTTTATAGAAAATAAATTTTTTATAACCTCCCTTTATTTACATGAAATGTTAAATTTGTATATATCTTTACAAATAATGTGTTTTGGAACCTACAATATTGATAAATCTTAATTTGAGCATCATATTTATGATTTAAAACCATAACAAAAATGGTTACAGGCTCTTTTAACTTATATTTACAAGGCTGCTTTTAAATTAATATTTTGTCTACAGTTTGACTAGCAAAAATTAACTAATTTAGTAATAGCAGTGTCTTGTGCATTCTTTAGCAGTTTTATAGAGAAAGCCAATTTTCCATGAATTTTACACAATGCATGTGCAATTAAGTAAAAGCCATTTTTTCTGAGATATTTAAAGTAACAGCCAGAGTTCCAAGATATTTAAAGTAAATGCCAGTTTTCCAAGATTTTTAAATTAAGAGCCAGTTTTAATGTATTTTACAGTTACAGACAGTTCTACGTGTCTTTACAATGAAAGACAATTTTCAATGATATTTAAAGTACAAGCCAGTTTTTAATGACTTTTTACAGTGGAAAATTATATCTTACTTAGGCATAATATGCCCCAGAAATCCATTTTTTTTGTAATTCTTTAGAAATGTCAAACACGTGTTAAGTAATGTTTTAATAATGGATTAAGACCATATTAGATATTAAGCTACTGAAGAAAAAAGCGCTTAGCGCACTGTAATGTGTCGTAAAGGTAGCAAAATGTAAACAAAGTACCATTTTGATTTCCATACAAAATACTAATTCACTATAATTATATCAAATGCCAAAAGAGAGAAAATGAAGCAATAGATCATTCATGTATATGTCAAATGAGTATTTTTGGAAACTGTAACAAGATACCAAAAATAAAAAGGTTTTTGAGAATAAAAAATGATAGCATTTATGAGGCATAATGGACCTTTACAGTAAAAGCAAGTTTTCCAGGGCACGAACTTTTTATTACTTGGGGACCATACGCCGCTTTTCATGGAATGGCACAGAAGTGTCACATTGAAGGTTCCATGATAACCGCCGTATGAACACATCTGCGGATGTTTTTTTGAATTCAAAATTTTACTATTTCACGTTTAAATGTTGAATTCTGCTTAAGCCGGTGCTAGGGGGCGTGGACGGTAATTTGCACTTTCCAGTACCGTCCATGAACAGGCTCAATCAAACCAAGCCTGCAACATTTTCAATTTTGCCGTGTTGGGCTTTCTTTAGGGATTCTATATTTATCTATTGCATGTATAAAGTGAAAAACAGTAATCCTAGTCTTTTACTGTGAAAGACAGTTTTCCATATTATTTTAAGTATGAAGCAGATTTCCATGCTTGTTACAATGAAAGACAATTTTCCATGACTTTTACAGTGAACACACAATTTTCCATGACTTTTACAGTGAAAGACAATTTTCCATGACTTTTACAGTGAACACACAATTTTCCATGACTTTTACAGTGAAAGACAATTTTCCATGACTTTTACAGTGAACACACAATTTTCCATGACTTTTACAGTGAAAGACAATTTTCCATGAGTTTTACAGTGAAAGACAATTTTCCATGACTTTTACAATGAAAGACAATTTTCCATGACTTTTACAGTGAAAGACAATTTTCCATGACATTTACAGTGAACACACAATTTTCCATGGCTTTTACAGTGAAAGACAATTTTCCATGACATTTACAGTGAACACACAATTTTCCATGACTTTTACAGTGAAAGACAATTTTCCATGACTTTTACAGTGAACACACAATTTTGCATGACTTTTACAGTGAAAGACAATTTTCCATGACTTTTACAGTGAAAGACAATTTTCCATGACTTGCATGTATAAAGTGAAAAACAGTAATCCTAGTCTTTTACTGTGAAAGACAGTTTTCCATATTATTTTAAGTATGAAGCAGATTTCCATGCTTGTTACAGTGAAAGACAATTTTCCATGACTTTTACAGTGAACACACAATTTTCCATGACTTTTACAATGAAAGACAATTTTCCATGACATTTACAGTGAACACATATTCCATGACTTTTACAGTGAAAGACAATTTTCCATGACATTTACAGTGAACACACAATTTTCCATGACTTTTACAGTGAAAGACAATTTCCATGACTTTTACAGTGAAACACACAATTTTGCATGACTTTTACAGTGAAAGACAATTTTCCATGACTTTTTACAGTGAAAGACAATTTTCCATATGACTTGCATGTATAAAGTGAAAAACAGTAATCCTAGTCTTTTACTGTGAAAGACAGTTTTCCATATTATTTTAAGTATGAAGCAGATTTCCATGCTTGTTACAGTGAAAGACAATTTTCCATGACTTTTACAGTGAACACACAATTTTCCATGACTTTTACAGTGAAAGACAATTTTCCATGACTTTTACAGTGAACACACAATTTTCCATGACTTTTACAGTGAAAGACAATTTCCCATGACTTTTACAGTGAAAGACAATTTTCCATGACTTTTACAGTGAAAGACAATTTTCCATGACTTTTACAGTGAACACACAATTTTGCATGACTTTTACAGTGAAAGACAATTTTCCATGACTTTTACAGTGAAAGACAATTTTCCATGACTTGCATGTATAAAGTGAAAAACAGTAATCCTAGTCTTTTACTGTGAAAGACAGTTTTCCATATTATTTAAGTATGAAGCAGATTTCCATGCTTGTTACAGTGAAAGACAATTTTCCATGACTTTTACAGTGAACACACAATTTTCCATGACTTTTACAGTAAAAGACAATTTTCCATGACTTTTACAGTGAACACACAATTTTCCATGACTTTTACAGTGAAAGACAATTTTCCATGACTTTTACAGTGAACACACAATTTTCCATGACTTTTACAGTGAAAGACAATTTTCCATGACTTTTACAGTGAAAGACAATTTTCCATGACTTTTACAGTGAAAGACAATTTTCCATGACTTTTACAGTGAAAGACAATTTTCCATGACATTTACAGTGAAAGACAATTTCCATGAGTTTTACAGTGAAAGACAATTTTCCATGAGTTTTACAGTGAAAGACAATTTTCCATGAGTTTTACAGTGAAAGACAATTTTCCATGACTTTTACAGTGAAAGACAATTTTCCATGACTTTTACAGTGAAAGACAATTTTCCATGACATTTACAGTGAACACACAATTTTCCATGACTTTTACAGTGAAAGACAATTTTCCATGACTTTTACAGTGAACACACAATTTTGCATGACTTTTACAGTGAAAGACAATTTTCCATGACTTTTACAGTGAAAGACAATTTTCCATGACTTTTACAGTGAACACACAATTTTTCATGACTTTTACAGTGAAAGACAATTTTCCATGACTTTTACAGTGAAAGACAATTTTCCCTGACTTTTACAGTGTAAGACAATTTTCAGTGATATCTAAAATATAAGCTAGTTAACCATGACTTTATAATGTCCCACGTTTATTAAAACATCATGTTAAAAAATTTCAATACTTTCTACTTAAAACAATTACCATCATATGTTTGTGGGTAAATAAATGAACGTGGGCTTGAACCAGCAGGCCTTGGTGGTATTTCTGGTGGATTGCTCGATACACTTCCTTGTGATGCACTTCTGTGGGAGGGCCCTAAACCAGGAGAATCTGTCGACAGAAAAATCATTTAATGTAAATTAAAACCCCATCTTTTATATGTTGTTTTATTCAATGGAACATTTTCATCCTTTATAAGTCGTTTTAATTCAATGTAATCAAGTGATATGAATGCACAATGATAAAATAATCTTACCTGAATTAACTCTATTAATTGTTCCACTAGGAGCTGACGGTAACCTGGGTCGTCTGTAAATATATAACAGTATTTAACACAAAAGCTTAGATTTTACCTAAACAATGCCTCACATACCAAAGGTTTATGTAGTAAAGCATTTTTAACAACATCCATTAATTTATTTACCGTTTATCAGACAAATTTATCACATGAACTGAATTAATAGTTTTATATTGTAATCACATGAACTTAATTATCAGATTTAATTTGACAATAAAACAAAACACATCACATGACAAGTAAAAATTTATATTGCACAAATTTATCACATGAACTTAATCAATAGTTGTTATTCAACAATAAAACAAAACGCATTACAAGAAAAGTTAATATTAAAAAGAATATTGGTAAGATTTATGAATTTTCTCCAATTACCAGGTAATAACATTTTTACATATAAAAATACAAATAAAAATAATAAACACAACAGTCAAGAAAAATTTAACCCTATAATAGTCCCTATTTAACAAGACTTTCAGTCTGTCTGCCCCAACCCCATTATCAAAACATATTTGTCTATGCAAGGTATCACATACCAGTGATTTTTTCCCTGTATTTTACAATTTCCCCCTAAAAATGCTAATATTTCCCCCAAAAATGCCCTTTGCACATTCTTCACCAGAACCATGACTGAACAGCAGCTGACTTATATCAGCTAGAAGACAGAAAGATGTCCCTATAGATAACCTCTGCTGTGTACTATGCATGTTAAATTGAAATTGAAAAAAATATAAAAGGTGTGGCTAAATTCCATTCTCAGTTGTTTGAAAATTAATTTATCGCATTATATTTTCGCTCTTCAGAAAGCCACAGGTTGTTTTGAAAATTGAAAAAAATCACTGCATATCCCCAATAAAGCATATTTGTCTATGCAAGGTATCAAATACCCCCATTAAAGTATATGTGTCTATGCAAGGTATCAAATACCCCCATTAAAGTATATTTGTCTATGCAAGGTATCAAATACCCCCATTAAAGTATATGTGTCTATGCAAGGTATCAAATACCCCCATTAAAGTATATGTGTCTATGCAAGGTATCAAATACCCCCATTAAAGTATATGTGTCTATGCAAGGTATCAAATACCCCCATTAAAGTATATGTGTCTATGCAAGGTATCAAACACCCCCATTAAAGTATATGTGTCTATGCAAGGTATCAAACACCCCCATTAAAGTATATGTGTCTATGCAAGGTATCAAATACCCCCATTAAAGTATATGTGTCTATGCAAGGTATCAAATACCCCCATTAAAGTCTTTGTGTCTATGGAAGGTATCAAATACCCCCATTAAAGTATATGTGTCTATGCAAGGTATCAAATAACCCCATTAAAGTCTTTGTGTCTATGGAAGTATCAAATACCCCCATTAAAGTATATGTGTCTATGCAAGGTGTCAAATACCCCCATTAAAGTCTTTGTGTCTATGCAAGGTATCAAATACCCCCATTAAAGTCTTTGTGTCTATGCAAGGTATCAAATACCCCAATTAAAGTATATGTGTCTATGCAAAGTATCAAATACCCCCATTAAAGTCTATGTGTCTATGCAAGGTATCAAATACCCCATTAAAGTATATGTGTCTATGCAAGGTATCAAATACCCCCATTAAAGTATATGTGTCTATGCAAGGTATCAAATACCCCCATTAAAGTATATGTGTCTATGCAAGGTATCAAATACCCCAATTAAAGTATATGTGTCTATGCAAGGTATCAAATACCCCCGGTATCAAATACCCCATTAAAGTATATGTGTCTATGCAAGGTATCAAATACCCCCATTAAAGTATATGTGTCTATGCAAGGTATCAAATACCCCCATTAAAGTATATGTGTCTATGCAAGGTATCAAATACCCCTATTAAAGTATGTGTCTATGCAAGGTATCAAATACCCCCATTAAAGTATATGTGTCTATGCAAGGTATCAAATACCCCTATTAAAGTATATGTGTCTATGCAAGGTTTCAAATACCCCTATTAAAGTATATGTGTCTATGTAAGTTATCACATACCCAATCAAAACTTAGTTGTCTATGCAAGGTATCACATACCCCCATCAATCTTAGCTGTCTATCTAAGGAAACACATACGTATCAAATCATAGTTGTCAATAACCTTTAATCTGATTAAATTAGCTTGCCATTAACCGTACAAAAGTTGAAAAATGTCACAACAAAAAAGGAATTATACTAACGCAGACGGTGCTATCTCGTCAGTCTCCGCAACATCTCTTGGTGGTTCAGGTGAAATACAAACTTTTAGTTCATTCAACCATGACATCATTTCACTATTACATGATGCCTCAACAACATATTCTGTCGTACCTTGGCCCTATAAAAATTAGATATATATAACTTTCATATATAAAAAAAATAACAATTAATATCCTACTTATATGATGTGATTTGTTGATAAAAGCATCTAGGCTACTAATGGTACAAGTAAAATAGGAGATATCACTGAGATACAATGGATACTACCAAATTAAAAACTTAGGTATATAGGAACTTTAGACTCTACCTGTACAATATTGGTTGATAGTCACCGGGAAATCATTTCTGTAAATCAATATCAAGTTCATATTAACAGTTTTAAGGGTTTTACCCATTGGAGGAAAAGGATCACACCCAAAACAATGCTGGCCAATCAATGGTGACTTGTGAGTAAATCATAAATTTCAAATTTCAATTTCCAGGTATCACCGTCATGTGACAATAGTTGATTTTATACAAAAATCTGGACACAAACTGATCCCTCGGAAGCATTAATCACAACAAAATTAAATGAAAATTGCAGACTCAGTTTGATCGAGTCTGTTCCTTAAGTTTAAAGTAAATGAAATGGTGTCAAACAATAAATTAATGTAACCCTCTCAAATTACATATAATAATAAAATCGAAATCTTTAAATTGAGGCTTTGTTAGACAGAAGAAATCAGTAATTCAGGAAGTAGTCCAATAAAATCTTAAGCTGTTTAATTTATTTTTAAAAGTAAAAGTCATTAAGCTTTTATTGAGGAAATTATCAGTGTGAGGAAATTGAAAGCTAAATATCTATGCAGGAAATTTTTTGTCTACGTTATACAAATTAAACCTCACAAAGTATGACAGTGTGAAAGTGTGTTTGAACATGGTTTTCACTGAAAAAGTTTATTTACCTTAAATGAACATCTCTAAAAATATATTGGAGAAACTATGCATATACATGATGTATACCATTCAAATTTTCATGTCCCTTCCCTTTCCTTCAATATCTATGCATAAATGGTCACAAGCAAATTTAGAATGCCATGATTCCAAGAACTTAGTTGCATTTTTAGATTACTACACCTTTTTACCAAGAAAATGTCCTGAAATTAACATTTTTTTCAGTATCTCTGATACCAGTATAGATATTTACTTTCAGAACGTTCAACATATTTTAAAGCAAACATGCAATTGCCAAGTTTAACTCCCAAAGCATGTCAAAGACAATGTGAAAACTCCTCTATGGCAAAAACAGGTACTGTTCCGCTAAAACAGAGTGCAAGCCCTGAGCCATTACAGGTACTTAACTGGACTGTAACTTTAAGTTTCCTGCCAGTTTACTTGACAGTATAGCTCACCAGGTAGGCAAGCTCACTAGGATATAATGGTAATAATAATAAATGTAAATTATAAAGAGAAATAAATATTGAATGTACCTTAAGAACAAATGCATGTTCATGGTCTGGCATTTCCAGGGCAGTTGTTACTCTTGCTTCTGTAATGAGGAAACAGAAAAGTCCTGTCTTTGGCTTCACAGACTGAAAATGAAGAAATAAAATCACTAATACAAACTTAGTATTACATTATAACAAGGTGATAAATACAATGTAGTATAATCATGCTTCATTTGAAGATTTTGTAGCTACAGGATATGCTGAAATATATGATATCTGACTTTTTATCTGTCTAGTATGATAATAAGTAATGTTAGTAAAGAACTCTTCTTTAATAATGATTAGTATTTTAACAAGAATTTGTAACAAAGTTACCAATGTCCCCCGCCTCGGGGAAGTTTTATATGAAGCATAAAATTGTGCTTATAATTTCAAAAGATTGAGGTATGGATCTCAGGACTTTCAGTCCAAAATTATGATCAATGCTAGATCTGCAAATGCAACAATAAATTTATTAAAGAAATAAAATGAAACACAGAATTTAAAAATCTTAGAGGTAGGGGTGCAGGTGTTGTGCATGACATATCAACTTATTATTGTAACTATTTGTGCCAAGTATTTTTAAAATCCCTTAAACTATGAAGAAGTTATTGATACCCTATTAGAGACTAGATGTTAATCTTTGACCTCTAGGTGCGACCTTAGAGGTAGGGACCCATGGTTTGCGCCTGACATATCATCTTATTATTGTGATAAGATTATTTGTGCAAAGTATTTTTAAAATCCCTTGATCTATGAAAAAAGTATGTATCCTATAACTTAAACAGACTATGTAAATCTTCGCCCGGATGGACTGACGGAGCCTATTTCTATATCCCTCTTTTTTTCTTCCAAAAGGCGGGGACAATAAAAAGAATATAATTGTACGATGAATTGAATTTCAAGCTTTACTGGTGGAGGAAGAACCACCCAACAGACTTTGGCCTTCCAAAAACTATTGGACATGTACACCATAACCAGGAAGTTCCCCAGACACTTTAAGTCCATCGGCATTCTCTGACAGTACACAATAGGCTTACGCCCCGAGGCAATTCACAGTACTGCTTTCAATGAAGTGGACCAAATCAAACTGTCTTTGCTGCAGTTTCAGATTGACAAAATTTATCTTTATAAAATAATAAGTAAAGTAGGTGAGGAACACACGTACAACACCAGGTCAAGTTTTAAAAGTTTTTATTGGCTACTAGTTTCGAGTAATACAATACTCTTCATCAGGCTTCAAAATTTATCTTTGAACAGATAATGAAAGATGTTTGAAGTCAAAAATATTACCATCCGATTGGTACTGTACAGTAATTCTAAAGTCATGTTTTAATGAGATCATCAAGTTTTAAAGCTTCGGTTAATTGGTTTGTTCACACTCAGTCTCAATATTTCAACAGCAAGACCGACTGACTTTACAAACTGATATAACACAGACATCGGCCTTTGAAGATGCTATCCTAGACAGTGATTGTTTACATTCATTAAATCAAGATGCCATCCTAGACAAGGATTGTTTACATTCATTTAATCACTGCAAAATTTCAGACATGTATGCATTTTTTTGCAATTTTTATTAAAAAACATCGCTGAAATTCTTAAATCCATGGCTATGGGTCATATTCCCAAAATCCTAGATCAAACGAACAGACATAATTAAAATATAACATTTTCATGAGGATTACTAACATGGGCTCAGCCCGACTCACTAAATAATACTGCGAATTGGAATAGATCATTAAGAGTTTTAATATTTCAAGTTGATAATATAATCAAGAGTCACTTTACTTTGCTGTTAATAATTTCTGTTTTTACCAGGTGTTATTCTTAAGTATATTTCTAAGAAATAAATGTGTAAAAAGTGGGGCTGTGGGGGCGGCTGCTTCAAATATGTATGCTTGTTAAATGTTTTCTTTCTGGGTGCGCTAAACTATAGGTGTTCTCTTTACTATTACCTTTGGAGGAGAGTAAAATTCCAACATATAACTTGTGTCAGTTTTTAATAAAACTAAACGAGTCTTTTCCCAACGAGACTTTCCTTTAGAATCTTCACCAGTTAAAACATAAACAACACCTTCTTTCTTCACTTCTCCTACAGAATGTGGCAAGTTTGGAGTTAATTTATACTTCGACTCTTTGTGGTGTTTCTTATTTCGTTTACTTTGTTTTTGCTCATTTAAATGTTTTTCCTTAAGATAATTATCTGAGGATCCAGTTGCAAGTTCTATCTCCTCAGAATTTTGTTTAAATAAACCTCGTTGTTTAATTTTTCTGAATGAAAATCGTTTCAAAATACTTCCTTTTGATTTCAGTGGTGGAGATGCAAAGCTTGAATTTTGTGTCTCTGTCGGGAAATCTGAATTAGTATGGTCTATACCCTCATTATGAACACTACCCTCTTCATTGAAGGAATCATTTTCGTCATTTTGTGATCTAGCAATCAAAGCTGGTCCATTTACACCATTTAAACTTGAATTGTGTGAACCATTTTCTGTTGGATTCAACCATGTTTCAGCACCCTCGATAGCAGCCTCTTTTCGGGCTGTTTGATTGTCATGAGCACCTTTCTGTATATTACGTTCAAAATGTTGTAGGAATAGTTCTACAAACTTCCTGGCATAATCGATGGGTTCTCTTGGTCGAAACTCGGAAGTAGGATGGGCTTTCAAAAATACCAGGAAGCTCCCAAGAAAATCTTCGGCAGCAGTTCTAGCGTGTTTATCACAAAACTCCATCCATCCAGGACGGTGAGGAGATCCTCCTACATCAAACGAAAATGGATCCATATTTTGATCAGCATATCACAGAGATCAGACCGTGAGAACATTAAAAATAAAATTATGTCAAATTTCACACCGGAAGACAAACAACATATAGATATGCGCGGAATGTATGCGCAGTAAAATAGAAATAAAAATATTTCAGGCTGAATATCGCTAAATTATTTCCTTCTTTGAGTTTTTAACGTAGGAAGGACTGTATAGAGTCCATTTGATCTTTATAAAAACTAACATGTCACATTTTGCTCAATATCTATCAATCTGTAAATTTATGCTAAAAGCTTAAAAATAATCTTGATTCTATATGTTATAGCAATGCAAAATTTGTTGTTGTTGTTGATTGTTAAGAAATTATGAAAACAATAATGTTGACAACGATGATTATATGTTGACTATTAGCTTTTCCAGTCTATATACTGATCACTCCGTTTTTGTCTGGACAAATTTAGATTAAATTTTGTAGACATAGTTATGCAAATAAAGCTCAAAATTTGAAAGAAAAAAGTTTGTAAAATAATATTTTAATAAGATATACATAAAGTAAAATTAGATATTTTAATTCAGTTTCACGATATAAAGAAATTGACTGGCACATTTCCCCCAAGGAAGTTTCTAGACATGACAGGATATGAAATAATTTTCCGAGATAAAAAATGTACCATTATTTATTATTACTATTATTATTATTATTATTATTATTATTATTATTATTATTATTATTATTATTATTATTATTATTATTATTATTATTATCATTATTATTATTATTATTATTATAATTATTATTATTATTATTATTATTATTATTGTTAGTTTTATTATTATTAGTTAATTTTTATGTAGGAAATGTTTTTTAAATTATTTGCTACAAAATACCTGAAGCTTTTCAGTCGGTTTCTTTTAAAATTTATAAAACATGAGCTAATAAGCTATTTACTGACAACAACAAAGACCATAAAGAATATTAACTAGCATACATGTTTTGTTTAACAAACTTGTAAAGTAAAAATTCAATAAATGCTACATGTAGCTGCTTAAGATTAAATTGAGAAAAATATGCAATAACATGACAATTAAAACAAAAGCAGGACTTAACGCTTGCCATTACGTGTTGTAGGGAACTAACAGTTAAGAAAATACTCTAGGATAAAGGAGAGCTCAAACAAATCATTTGATGTAAAATACACGAAGCAGAATGGAAAGCACACTTTATTAAATGTTGATAAGTCATATTGTTACCTTTGTCACGTGGCTTCTAATAAAAGTGATTGTTGTTGGTGTTGTTGTTATCTAGAGCATATACTTTATATCCACAGTACTTAAAGATTGTTCAATAACTTAAGTAAAAGTAGCTCACGACATTGAATATCATATCAATTTGCACATGATATATTAATATCCTTTTTAACAAATTTCAATTCAATAAGATTTTTTTTCAGTTTAAATTTTGACCAACATAAACCAAGCAAGTAACGAAAACACTAAACAATTTCAAGACGAAAACTGTTTTTGAAGTGGAGGAATTAAATTATTCAAAGATGCTCAGTTGATGTTATATTAAGAAATGTTGAAAAGTTTGATTTAGTTAAAGCGTTGTGTGTTTAAAAATAAATTTTCAAAAAATTATTCATTTATTTGTTTCATTCTAACTGAGATGAATATCATGTTTTTATTGTCTGCCAAATATATCGGGAAATTAGGAAAATAAATATTTAAAACCAGCATGTTTTTGATGGGGGCCGACTCTTAAAAAATTCGATAGACTGACATGTGCACTGGTCAGTGTCCCCAGATAACGAAAGAAAACATATACATACATGTACATTTAAATGTAGGCCGGTTGTACTGCATAGAGATCAATGGGTATTGGAATACAATTATTACAATTTTAATTCAACATTGACATATCCATTCCCGGTGCATATACTGTATAGAAAACCTGGAAAGCGTAAAATTCATACCTACTAGTGCAGAAAATATTCCCGATCAATATTATTTGCAATGAGGTGTATATATTTAGTGTACTTATACCTTAAGAAAGCTCTTCAATGAAAAGAGAATGGTGTTTACACCGGAAACAGCATGAACATTACAAACTAGGCGCATTTAAATTTGTACCCTGTAATCTTTACTTATTATTTCACTGAATATAAATGCTTGCTAACCGCATGTGTCTCACATAAGGCTAGAGCTTCCGGCTAGCAGTAAAGACCCTTATTACTAGCAACTTTCATTCGGTTAATCAGCACAATTAGCATGCACATGCTGCGATATAATATTATGTGTAAACATTTTTTTTTTATGATTAAGAAGGGAGAGCATATATAGTCGCCGCTTTGTAGGTCCGTTCTTGTCCGGAAGATAATAACTCTTATACTACAAAAAAATATAGGTAGATAGATCTCATTGAGTAGAAGTGCATTGCAAAAGAACTGTAACTGTGCCTTGCCTAATAATTTTTTTGAGTTATTTCCCTTCGTTCATGCATTGTCTGGGACATAATTCTGAAACTATAAAAGATATTAACAAGAAACTTTGTACATAGACAGATCTTATTGGGTAGATGTGCAGTGCAAAAGAACGGTAATGCTGCCTTGACTAATTTTGGAGTTATTGCCCTTTGTTCAATTTGACACTTTGAACTTTTTTCAGGGACATAACTCTAAGACTATATGAGATATCAACAAGAAACTTTGTAGGTAGATATATCTCATTGATTAGATGTGCAGTGCAAAAGAACAGTAACTCTACCTTGCCTAATTTATGTGTTATTGCCCTTTTCAATTTTACACTGTGAACTTTTTTCAGGGACATAACTCTGAAACTACAAGAGGTATCAACAAGAAACTACTTTTTCTATGTCCGAAACCTATTTGGGGAGCATCACCCGATTCAATTGGCATCTTCCTTATTGTTATTTCTTGCATTATCAAGGCTCTTGTTTTACTAAGGACTGAAAATAGTCCATCGTGCTGTCCTACCGACAGCTCTTGTTGTCCCCCGCCTTTTCAAAGAAAAAAGGGGGATATAGAAATAGGCTCCGTCCATCCCTCCGTCTGTCTGTTCGTCACACTTTCGTGTCTGGCCCATAACTTTGTCATTCATCAAAGGAATCTGAAATAACTTGGCAAAAATGTTTGTTATAATAAGACGATGATGTGTCATGCGCAACAACCAGACCCCTACCTCCAGGGTCAAGGTCACACTTGCTCATTCAAGGTCAACATTGTCTATTTGAGGGTATATGTCGTGTCCGGTCCATAACTTTCTTATCTTTGAAGGGATTTTGTAAATACTTGCCACAATTGTTCACAATAATGAGACGATGTGTCATGCACAACAACCGGTCACCTACCTCCAAGGTCAAGGTCACACTTGGAGGTCAAAGATTAACATAGTCTGTTATAGAGTATATTTTGTGTCCGGTCCATAACTTTTTCATAGATCAAAGGATTTTGTAAATACTTGCCACAAATAGTCACTATAATAAGACGATGTGTCATGCGCAACACCTGCATCCCTACCTCCAAGTTCAAGGTCACACTTAGAGGTCAAAAATTAACATAGTCTGTTTTAGGGTATATTTTGTGTCCGATCTAGAACTTCTTCGGGATTTTGAAATAACTTGGCACAAATTGTCACAATAATAAGAGGATATGTCAAGTACAACACCTGCACCCCTACCTCCAAGGTCAAGGTCACACTTAGAGGTCAAAGGTTAACAGAGTCTGTTATATGGTATATTTTGTGTCCCGTACATAACTTCTTCATAGATCAAGGGATTTTGAATATACTTGGCACAAATAGTCACAATGATAAGATGATATGTCATGCGTAACACCTGTGTCCCTACCTCCAAGGTCAAGGTCACACTTAGAGGTCAAAGATTTACATAGTCTGTTATAGGGTATATTTTGTGTCCAGTCCATACTTTTTTCATAGATCAAGGGATTTTAAAAATACTTTGCACAAATAATCACAATAATAAGACGATATGTCAGGCGCAAAACATGGGTCACACTTAGAGGTCAAAGATTAACATAGTCTGTAATAGGGTATATTTTGTGTCTGATCTATAACTTCTTTATAGTTCAAGGGATTTTGAAAATACTTGGCACAAATAGTTACAATAATAAGACGATATGTCATGCTCAACACCTGCACCCCTACCTCCAAGGTCAAGGTCACACTTAGAGGTCAAAGCTTAACATGATAGATTTTTAAATTCCGTGTTTCATTTTATTTCTTTAATAAATTTATTGTTGCGTTTGCAGATCTAGCATTGATCATAATTTTGGACTGAAAGTCCTGAGATCCATGCCAGTAAACCTCAATCTTTTGAAATAGCACAATTTTATGCTTCATATAAAACTTCCCCGAGGCGGGGGACGTTGGTAACTCTGTTACAAATTCTTGTTCATTTTGAACTATTACTTTGATTCATATGTATTTACAAAAAGATTTATAATCTGTCAAATTTTGAAATCCTGTTTTCTGTAAAAAGAAATGATCTTGTTGTTTATATTGATCCTTCACAGTGATCAGAAAAAAATGAGTGAGGAGTATTTACCAGCATAGTAATCATGTTTCTCAACTTACGTTCCAGTCCACTCACCAAACAGTGATTATATGAGAGAAAACACAATGTATCAATTTCTTCAATTACAATACCTCACTCAACAAGTGCGATATTTACGTTTCCTTCAATCTCATCTCAACTCATTGTCAAAGAAATGGACTGTGGGTAATTCTGTATCTCAAAGATATACTACAACTTCAAGGACTTATTGCTGTCTGTGCAAAAATAGGAATTATTCTCTCATTAAAAGACAAGGATATGGACTTAGGAAAGAAGGTGAAAGATTTTTGCATGATGGAATAAATGGAAATAATGGTAAAGATGGAAATAATCAGATTGAAAATGAAGCTTACAGCACAAACAAAGAAAAGAGTGATAAACCAGAATGTATAAATGATGATAGAACTAATTTAGCTCCAACAGAAATAACCATGACTGGTACATGTTCAAGTCAAACTGAAGAAAGAAATATACTGGATGATACTGTTGAAGCTAGTTTAAACGATAATGTTAATGAGGAAGTTAATCTAAGTGAGGCTACTGGTGATGCTCATAAACAAGTGGAAAAAATGGATAAGAAAATAGCAGATATTGATAGTGCAGGGGATGAAAATGGAAACAATAAAAGTGATATAGATATCATTAAACAGTTCCTGACTGACAATGAACTGGGTCATGTGACGGGCTATACAGGTTATCTCACAGTGTGTCCAAAGTTAGGAAAGTTAGCAATGAAAAGAAGAAGAAAAGAAGATAGTCTTTACATCAATGCTACTTCTGGTATGCTTTACTATATTTAACATTTTTATCATTTTTAGCATGTCTGTTTTTAAGAAGAAAAAGTAAATAATCGTTGCTGTATTGCCATTGCAGTCATCGTTGTGCAAAACCTTTTATTTAGCCCATTTTTCAAACAATTTTAAAAGGTATCAACATGAAACTTGGAATACTTGCTTATAAAAAGGTGCAGTTGTAAGACAAGGGGCATAAGTCTGAAAGATATATTTTCAGAGTTATGCCACTTTTTAACTTAGAATTTTTGTAAAAATTACAAATTAAGTAAATAAACTTAAATATTGGTAATTAATATATCAATTTTGTCACAGGTTATTTTTACTGTCACCACTGTGGAACTAGTGGATCCTGGTCTCAGCTTCAAGACAATGTTAAATACATCAAATCAAGGAAGAAACCTCTCAAGTAATCAATCTATAATTAAAATTTTAATTATATGTTTTTGTTGTCAGTATCTTTTAATGTTTCTTGTGACAAATAACATATTATTTATAAATCACAATTTGTTGGTCAATTTATTCATTCTTGTTATTTTACATATAGTAAATAAACTATTGGTAACCAGCTATCAAGGAGACAAGATAGCTCAAGTAATTTGGAATAATGATAAATAAATCATGGCAGTTGTTGAAAAAGTGCACTTTGCTGTAATTATGTTCGTATATATATGTATATGCAGAGATACTTTGATAATCATTCTGATAAAACATGTTGATCAGATTTTAGTGAAACTTGTCAGAAATTATTCTTTACAATTACTATGTGATTTTCTACCAAGATTTTTCAAATGATTTAAATTTGTCTAAAAGAATGGTGTTTAAAGAATGGTATTGTGTTTTCCCTACATTTATACAGGGATGAGTTCCTCTTTAAACGACATGTATGTATAACTGTTGTATGTATGGTTCTCTATTTTTCTCTGTTATGATTTATTTATTTCTAGTTGTCCCTGTTATATTGGTCCCCAATATAAATGATATGTGTAATATAAAGGAGAATCTTTTTGTTCATACAGTGTGTTTCCCTGTTATTTTACAGACAAATAGAATGTTTTACTATTATTTGACAGGCAGATTGAGTGTTTTGTTGTTATTTTACAGGCAGATTGAGTGTTTCAAAGATATAGCTGATGTAGTAAGGGAATCTAATGAAGATCATACTCCTGTGTTGAAACATTTTGAAGGTGCACATGATTTTAGGTCAGTGACAGATGAAATGTTTGAAACAATACAGTCAATGTTTGAGTGGCATGTAAGTATATCCTTTGTTTACTATAAAAAAAACTCCCAGGATTTCAATGTTTATTAACCAGGTTTTCAATTTTAAAAATCCTGGTTATTATTAGATTTGGGTAGGCAGGCTGGCATATTTGAGGACGGGTGTCAAACAATATGGTTTTCTGTCAATAACTTAAGTTCAGAATGACTTATCTGAATCACACTTGGCATATAATATAGCAAGCTTATATGAGGGCCTCACTTGGGATTGCTTTTGGGTCCCCTAGATTTCAAGGTCACTATACCTGAAAATAATAAATTGTGATATATCAATGAAACTTTGTTTGTAGCAAGCTTATGAGAAGACCTCGATGCGATTGCTTTTGGGCCCCCAAGGGGCAAGTTCACTGTTGCTGAAAAAGGAAAAATGGTTTCCTGTCAGTAACTAAAGTTAGGAATGAGATACATGTATTTTCAATGAAACTTGGTGTGTGCAAGCTGTTGTAAAGGTCACTTTTACTCAAAATAGAAAAAAGGTTTCCGGTCAATAACAAACAAGAGTTTGGAATGAAATAATTCAAATGTAACTTGATGTCCAATAAGTTCATTTGAAGACCTTGCTTGGGATTGCTTTGTGGCCCCCTAGGGTCAAGGTCACTGTTACTAAAAATAGCAAATCGGTTTTAAGTCAATAACTAGAATGAGATATGTGATACTTTAATTAAACTTCTTTTATAGCATTCCTATTTAAAAACCTAACTTTGGATTGCTTTTGAACCCCATAGGATCATGGTCAAGGACACTGTTACTAGAAATAGAAAAATAGTTTCTGTAAGGAGTGAGTTATTTAAAAAAAATATCTTGGCATATGGCAAGCTTATGTGAAGATCTTGCTTGTGATTGCTTGAATGCCCCCTAGGAATGAATGGATTGGATTCTTTTTTCGTCAAAACAACACTTTGGACACAACCATCATGTGATATAACATAAATATGACCTTGACCTTTGACTGACTTTAACCAATAAAAGATTGTATCAATATTTTTGCATTTTGTAATGAAAGTCAGGTGTGACTGCTGCTTGTGATGACTAATAAAAGCAAATGACTCGAATAAATAATTTTTTTTGGAATAAAAGCTGTTCTGGGGAGTATTTGGGGAGTATTTATCACATCTGCTGAAAGTTCCAGTTTTATTGTTGCTATGAACATTGTAATAATACTATATTTGCAATAAAGTTATTTGTATTTTATTAGTGTATTTTATTTGCAGGGTATAGAAAAGAGAACATTTATTGAATATGGAGTAAAGTGGAGGAGAAAAGAGAATGAATATTGGATCATGTTTCCTATATACTCTCCTGTAAATAAAGTGATCACTTCAGTGAAAGTTTTTAATGGGAAGGTAACTGAAGAAGGAGATATCAAGATAAATACAGTCCAGAAATATCCCAAGTAAACTCTTTCTTTTTTCAGAAAAGTTTATAACAAATCTATTGAAGTGCTAAAAGTTGATGGTGATATAAATACTGTGCATCAAACGTTGAAGATACATGTATATTGGGCATGCAGTATCATTAAATTGCATTACTTTCAACAAAAGTAATGCATTACTACTGCATTACCAGTATCATTACCCCAAGCCTAATATTGGCACGCTTGAATTACTGAAATAAGTAGACCGCCTCCGTGGTCCAGGGGTTAGAGTTGATGACTTCTAATCCAGGTACCTCTCTGGCGTGGGTTTGATCCCCGGGAGATGCTTTGGTAGTTTAGCGCGGAGGAAGGTAGTCTAGTACTGGTGTAACTCTCCAGGAACGATGGTTAGGAAACTACCCGCCTATATGACTGAAATACTGTTGGAAGAGGGCGTAAAATAAAACAAACAAACTGAAATAAGTAAGGATAATAAAAAATTATGTTGAATATATGACTTAAGTAATTATGTACTATGCTTTCTTAAAATTGGTGTAGAAAAATTAAAAACTAGTTTATAAGCCAACCTTGTTACTATATGTAATTAATTATTTGAACATGCTTCCCTAAATGTTCTTATCATATTAAACAAACTGAGCATTTGCACAATAAACATAAATGATAGTAATATTGTAATATTGTACAACAATGCAAGAATATTTTTAATTGATATCTCTTTCATACTAAATTGCTTATAGAAAGGTTCCAATTGAATATTTTGTCACTTAAATGCAGTAACGGGTTAACACCTATTAAATGTATAAGGAGTTAACCCGTTACTGTGCTAAGGTGCTGAATTGTTGATCTGCACTGAGAGAAGTAATAATTTTCATGCTGTTAGTCACACTAAACATCATGTATGAAGTGTAAACACTACTTTCCTTATTCTGTGCATTATTGCTACTTGTTTTATTGTTCAAATATTTTGTAATTAATTACTTAGGTACAATACCTATAAAGGGGGCACAGGAAATATTTTATTTACAATGTTTGTGCACAGGATAACTATAATATGGCCAATCAAGAGATATGATGCGTGCATCAGATAGCTATATTGTGGCAAATCAATAGCTACTATGTTTGCATGATTGTGAAAGCTAAATATGTATGTATGCTATAGCTATGTACCACATGGTCATGTGATAGATGTATGTGTGTGTATCTAGAATTCTGTTTGTCTGTAAATAATATTTTGTTAATTTAACTCAGAGGAAAGATGAGTTATCTATTTGGCTGGCAGAATGAAGGGATGATAAAGCGAGCTACCAAACATACAGTGGTAATCACAGCAACAGAAGCAGATGCAATGGTTGTGTCACAGTCTACAGGCATTCTATCCTTATCATTGACCAATGTCTCTCAACTACCTCAGGAAGTTAGTTTGTGTATCTTTCACTGATATATTTGCTAGCTTTTGACAGAATTTCCAGTTTCTGTTAAAAATTAAAACATCGATTTTTATCAACTACAGAAACTTTATACCCTAACACCACTAAACTCACCCTACCTTGATTATGGTATGGTGTTTTTCTATAGTAAGGTGTGTCTGTATCTAACAGCTAATGTTAAGCAGCCATTATTTCCATGTCAAGTTACACTTAACTAATGCAGGCTGGCTTACTGGCAAGTCATTTACAGCACTAGCATTCAAACAGTTAACAAGAATAAATGTATTGACAAGTGGCCATTTACTGTGAAATGTAAAATCATTATTATTTGTGGGGCACTAACTTTTGTGGATAGGTCAATCAGGGAATTTAAGATTCAACGAAATTTCATTTTGTCTGTTGTAAAATTATTTTGCATGACATATACAGTTTACCTTTTGGGAACAAAAAAAAGTCCACAAATTTAAGTACCCATGAAAATTTTCTTTGTGACAAAACCACGAAATTTCATGCCCACGAAACTAAATGAATTTACAGTATGTGAAAGCACATGATATATAGGTTGCTTCTGTATAGAAAATCATGAGCACTGTCTTAACATATAATGTTATTTGAATAAAATCACTACATATGTATGAATTTTAAGAATTAAATATTTTGCCCTTATGGGTTTATTATCAGTATATGAGTTCCTTCTTTCAAGATAGTTGTGCCTATATTTATATGATCTTTTTTACAGTAAATTTAATTTGATATTTCAGACATTACCATTCCTGGAAGAGTTTTCTAAGGTAATATTATGGCTAGGTACAGACAGTATGGCCTGGGATAATACAAAAGTGTTTTCCAAGAAGCTTGGTGATAAAAGATGCCATGTCTTTAAGTAAGTTTTTATACTGGTATTATATCTGTGATTTCATTAAATAACTTCTGACTTTAATTCATTTAAAACTCAATTTCAAAACTACGATTTAAAAAATGGTTTGTGGAACATTTATTTAATTAAATACAAAATTTTTATACATGTACCATTTTACAGTGCCAACCTAAAAAAATTAAGCGTATTTCAGTTTAGGTCTGTGTGTTAGTTATCTTTTGCCTACTCTATATCTTTTGAACCAGTGGAGGAGAATTGAAATTACTTCTCTATATCAAGAAAGAAAGAGTATACCTGTTTATATTTCAGACTAACAAACCTAAAGAATATGCCTGACATACCTTATTATTTCCATTTAATGCCCTCCGTGTGCTTGCATTTTATCAAAATGAGGGCACAAATTAGAATTATGAAAATGTGCTTTACAATACAAATGTACATGTATGTTTATTAAAGATTCTATTCAATTTTAAAAATCATTATTCATAATTATGATCTTATATATAATATAAGATTATATTCTTTTTATGATTTTACATTACTGGAGTGTCATTAATTTGTTCGGATTTAAATAAAAATAATGCATTTTCTCGATGAATTATAAAACTAAAAGGTATGTTTTTTTCTACAAAATGAGGTGCGGCAGGGCACAAAATTATGGAAACAATCAGGTACTTGTTGTTTACATTTCAGACCAACAGAATTAAAGAGTATGCCTCATGAAGTTATACAGAATGGTGATAGTATACATACAATTCTTGGCAAGTCCAAGTTGATGAGTCATCAATCTATTTTAACATTTGCTAATGTTAGACAAGAAGTGTATGCAGAATTTGCAGATTTTAATCAGGTTTCCGGAGTTAAGGTAATTTTTGTTAGGCAATGAAGTAACAGGATTTAATGTATATACACATAAATTTGTGTCGATATAGTAAGATTTACAATTAAAGAACTTATACATTTTAATGAAGTATTATGCATTCAGAAATTAGTAGTTTAAAATTAACACATGTCTCTCAAGGTAATAGTGTTTATTTGCAACCCGAGTAGTGAAATAACACCCGAGGCGGACAACATTTTAATGTAATTATCACTGCTATGCATTATTTCTCATCATAGATTTAGTCCAGGGGAGAGAACTAGAACATTATGTTTTCTTAAGTCTATACAGATTACTTTCCCCTGGGGAATATTGACTGGATGATATTCATTTCGAGGATAAAAGATCGTAAAAAAAACTGTATGTATCTGTTTAGTTGTCCAGATCATAGGTACATACATACACAGATCTTATTGAATAGAAGTGCAGTGCCTAACAACCATGACTTTTTGCCTTACACTTTATATACTTCATTTTTGACTGTTGCATATTGCAAAAAGTATAAAGAGGGTAGTAATATGAATCACCTACATAAATATCATCACCTAAGTTTAGTAAAGGATTAACTCCTTATATGATTTAATAGGAGATAACCCATTACTGCATTATGGTGACAAATGATATCTTACTGATGACACAAGCGGTGTGCCTAAGAACCATAACTTGTGCTTAAGTTTTAGGACCTCGGGGAATTTAAACAAAAGCTGACCATTGTAACCATTGTGTGCTGTAGTATAAAATGTTTTCATTCTATTTCAGTGGAAAAGATACACAAAGTTGAATAAATTGTTAAAAGGTCATCGTCGTGGAGAGCTGACAATTTTAAGTGGTCCAACTGGGTCAGGCAAGACAACTTTCACATCAGAGTATGCCCTGGATCTTTGTATGCAAGGGGTAAAAACATTATATAGTAACAATATTATACAGCATGTGACTTAATTATTCAAAAAAAGTTTGAATGTCTGATAATTGTTGAATAATTATAATTGCTGTTATTGATAATGTGGTGTTTTTAAACATGATTGTTCAATAAAAAAATTTGGAAAAAAATAGATTTACTGTAAGTTAATATGATTTTTCGGTTAACACCTTCTATCATGTCTATATATCACTTTTGGTGAACACCTGATATTATTTCTAAATATAGCTCTAGGTAAATGCCTTATATCATGTCTATATTATTCTAGGTAAATACCTAATATCATGTCTGTATATCACTCTAGAGAACTTATATTATTCTATATAAACACATGACATGCCTTTATATTTCTCCAGGTAAACACTTTATGGGGAAGTTTTGAGATCAGCAATGTAAGATTGATTAAAATGATGATGCAGCAATTTTGTGAGTAAGTTGTTTCATTTTTTCTTTCAATGAATGGATAGATGCTTAACTGAATGGTACCTTATGTTAAACATTTTATCTGGTATTCAAGATTTATCATTTTGTGATTGTTGTAAGGTACTACCCTTTGGCTGTTAAATGATAACATGGCATTTATGGGTGTACCATTTTGTGGCTGTTATATGTCATTAGTGACTGTGTGTGCACCATCTTGCTATGGTTATATGGCAGTACTTGGTGTTACTTCTTGTGGTTGTTATATAACAGTTGTAAAAAGTATTACCCTATGCTTGTTATATGGTCTTTTTGGATGTACCGTCATGTGACTGTTATATGGTGGTTATGGTTGTATTATCTTACAATTGTTATATAACAATTGAAGGGGGTACTATCGTTTGGCTGTTATATTGCCTTACTTGGTGTACCATCTAATGGCTGTTATATGGCAGTAGTGTTTGAATTATCTTGTTGCTGTTATATGGCAGTTGTGGGTGAACCATTCTATGACTGCTATATAACAGAAGTAGAGGTATTATCCTTTGGTTGTTATATGGCCCTTGTTGGTGTACCATCTATTGGCTGTTATATGGCAGTAGTGGGTTGTAAGTTGGTTAAAGAAATCATATAATCAAGTGTAATATTTAAATTACAGGAAGAGTATATCCAAGCATCTAGATGAGTTTGATGCTATAGCTGAAGATTTTGCTACTTTACCCATGTATTTTATGGCCTATTATGGTGAAGAGCAAATGAGGAATGTTCTTGAAGTGAGTATTTCATCTGTCACTTAGTGGCTTTATGTAATGCTACCATTGATAAAATGTAACATATTTTCTATAATCACATTAAATAAACTGCGTGATAAAACTGGAGCAAACATTTATTTTCTTCTGTTACAAAGCCTACAGGATTTGTATGGCAATCAAATGAAACTGAATTGTTCTTCCATCAAGATCCTATTCTTAGAAATGGCTGATCAGATTCTTATGAACATTGACATGAATACATTAGTAAAAAATCTGTTAAAATCTATTCATGGGTTATTAAGATATACTAGAACCTTTAGGTCCTCTACAAAACGTTTTATAAAGCGTAGGTCAAAATTGCAGATGTTGTGTGAGAAAGGTATTATAATGCATTTACCTGTAAAAAATGTTTGAATTTTTTCTTGTCAGAAACTAGAAGGCCGCTAGCTTCAGTATTCATCATGTAGCATTACTTATTGTTCCTCTTTAAAATTGTATTTATAAGTCATATTTGACATTTTTGATAGGGTTAGTTTTGTTAGAATACTTAGAATGATAAAAAAAAATTGCATTTGAACATATTCTTTTTAGAATCTAAAAGGCCCAGAGCATATTAATGCTTATTTGGAATTAATCATTTCCTGATTTGTTTCAAGAAATTAATATGCATTGAGACAAAAATGTCCCACCTTTGGTAAGTAATTGTTTGCTTCTATTTACTCTGCTGAGTGATATAATTATTTTTATCTCATTTTTTTTATATAAAAACCTGTCAGATTATGTCTTGTTTTATAAATCTGTTTACAGGCGATGTCACATGCTGTGTATATACATGACATAAGTCATGTGATTGTTGACAATCTGCAGTTTATGATTGGAATGGACTACAATGAGAGGAACAGGTTCTTCAAACAGGACCAGGTTGTCTCATCATTCCGGAACTTTGCTACAGAGAAAAATTGCCATGTAACATTGATTATTCATCCAAGAAAGGTAAAATATATATTGACAATTTTATGTGTACATAAAACTATCTCTCTAGGTAAAATATAATAACAATTATATGTACATATAACTAGAGCTTTAGGTAAATTATAATAACAATACACTAAAGCTGTAACTATTGTACATGTATACATATATATAACTAAAGCAACAGATAAAATGATCTATTCTAGTACTATATTATTATAAATGTGATCATTGCAATTCAGAATGGTTAATTTGATGTTTTTAGTGGTAAATAAGCTATAGAGAGAAATGTTTAATTTTAAAAATTGCAACACCTGGCCCCGTGTTCATTAAGAAAAGATCAGGATCAGGATCAAGTGATCCTGATTTTATTTTCATTGTTTAATGTTACTAAAATTATTTGTGTTTTGTTGAATTAAATTGTAAATATTCAAAATGTTAAAATATGCTGATTTGCAAAGAAAACAAACTATTTTGGGATAAAATCAAGAAATAACAAAACAAATACAAAAATATTTGGATCAAAATAAGGATCAATTTTAGGATCAGGATCAATATTTGGATCAACCGTAAAATGCCCATATCTTGCAAAATTAACAATTAATTTATTCTAAAATTTCATATACTTGCAATTTCAAGTCCAGTTTTATCAAATTTATAATCAGATATTTATCTATGAGGATAAACAATGAAGAATATCAGGGTTTTCAAATTTGATCCTGATCTTGATCCTGATCCTTAAATCTTTGTGAACACGGGGCCTGAGGTTAGACAAAATCATCTTTCCTGTTACGGCACCATATAACCTATACTGTGTTGCTGCACCCTAAAAACAACCAAACAAACAAAAATATGCCACAGATTAAAACATTGATTCACAGAGCTAAGTTACTGATAGTGTGAGGGTAAATGGAGATATTTGAAACATTGATATTTTGTATTGATATATGAGCCGGGTCATGACAAAACCAACATAGTGCGTTTGCGACCAGCATGGATCCAGACCAGCCTGCCCATCCTCACAGTCTGATCAGGATCCATGCTGTTCGCTATCAGTTTCTCTACTTGTAATAGAGTTGGTAAACGAACAGCATGGATCCTGATCAGACTGCGCAGATGCGCAGGCTGGTCTGTATCCATGCTGGTCGCAAACCCATTATGTTGGCTTTGTCATGGCACGGCTCATATCAGCTAAATGTTTTCAGTTGAATGAGACAGAAGAGTTATCAACAGCATCTATTTTTGGAAGTGCTAAAGTTACCCAGGAGGCTGACAATATATTACTGATACAGGATCAGAGACTTACCAAATCCTCCAGGAAAAAATATGTCCAGGTAATGTGATAAATGTTAAAGGGACACCACTGACGTTTTTTGACATGACAGGACTGGAAATAATTTTTCCATTTGATTGAAATTTAATACAGTTATCCGAGTACTATTCAACTTTTTTCTTTTTGAAGAGTAATTATCTGTGATTATCTCCCTTGGATGCACATTACGATACACACGAAATACTACCGAAAACATCTTTAAGTGATTTTCTGCAGGCACTAACTGGTCTGTCTTTTGCAGCCATCTGGCAGAAACTTGACACATTTGCAAATGACCTATCTGAATTGTATGAATTAACCCAACAGAAATACCAAGACTTTCCACTAACTCCTTGCATGTTAAACGCCGATCTTCATTCAATAGGTTCCTAACTTTTTCAACATTGAACTTGTCTGTAATCTGATTTATATAGTAAAAAACTTTAAAACAAACTTTCTTTCAAACTACAAAAGCTAAAGCTTAGTTTGTTTTACATGAAGCATCATCTAGCTGACAAACCTCTTATAAGTTTGTTCTAATTATAGCCTTGAGTCCAAATTGGCCATCCAGAGGGTCATGGCTTTTCCTTATATAGTAAAACTTCAAAAATGACCTTGAAAACTGCATGGGCTATAAACATGAAACATAGTCAGAGGAACAACAACAAAAATTATTCAAATTTATTATTGTAGCCCTGGAGTCAAAATTGGCCCTACCTCAGGGGAACATAGATTTTCTTTGTATGTGACATTTCATAGCAGCCAGTGACATTCCATAGCAGTCATGCATTTCAGGAGCAGCCAGTGACTTTCCATACCAACCACTGACTCAGTACCAACCACTGACTTTCTATAGCAATCACTGACTTCTCATAGCAACAAGTGACTTCCCATAGCAACCATTGACTTACATAGGAACCATTGACATTCCATGGCAACCATAAACCTCTTTAGCAACCAGTGACTTTCCAAAACAACCAGTGACTTTCACAAACAACCAGTGCCTTTCTATGGCAACCATTGACTCTCAATGGTAACCAGTGCATTTCAATGCAATCACTGACTTCCATAGCAACAAGTGATTTTTCATAGTAACCAGTGACTTCCCATAGCAACCACTGAGTACCATAGCAACCACTGACTTTCCATAGCAACCTTTTATTTCCATAGCAACCAGTAACTTTCTTTAATAACAATAGCTTTCCTTAGCAACCAGTGACTCCCATAGCAATCAGTGTCTCACAAAGTAACCATTGACTTTTCTTAGCAACCATAGATATCTTTAACACCTAATGACTTGCCATAACAACCAGTGACATTCCATATCAACTGTTAACTTTCCATTGCAACCAGTATCTTTCCATGGCAACCATTGACTTTCTATGGCAACCATTGAATTTCATAGCAACCATTGACTTTCAGTAGCCACCATTGACTTTCCATAGCAACCATTATCTTCCATGGCAACCATTGAATTTCCTCAGCAACCAGTAACCAATATTGCAACCATTGACTTCCATAGCAACCACTAACTTTCCTTAGCAACCATTGACTTCCTAGCAACCATAGACTCCCATGGCAGCCACTGACTTTTCCATAGCAACCAGTAACCAATATTGCAACCATTGACTTCCATAGCAACCACTAACTTTCCTTAGCAACCATTGACTTCCTAGCAACCATAGACTCCCATGGCAGCCACTGACTTTTCCATAGCAACCAGTAACCAATATTGCAACCATTGACTTCCATAACAACCAGTGACATTTCATAGCAACTACAGAATTCTGTGGCAGCCATTGACTTGCCATAGCAACCTTTATCATAGCAACCAGTGACTTCCATAGCAACCATTGACTTATATAGCAACTTGTGACTTTCAAGAGGAACAAAGCTTTCCATAGCAACTAGTGACTCGCATAGCAACCAGTAACTTTCAGTTGTAACCATAGGCTTCTGAAGCACCAGGTATATTTTCATAACATCTAGTGACTTGCCATGATAGCAACCATTGACTTTCCATAGCAACCAGTGACTTCTGTTGCAGACATTGATTTTCCATAGCAACCATTAATTTTCCATAGCAACCATTGTCTTTCCGTGAGAACTATTTACTTTTTATAAGAACCATTGACTTTGCATAGCAACTGCTTGCTTTCTGTCACAACCAGTGACTTCTATAGCAACCAGTGATTTCATAGCAGCCTTTGATTTTTCATAGCAAAATGTAAATTTCCATAGCAACAATGACTTACATAGCAAACATTGACTTTTACATAGCAATCATTGACTTCCATATCAAACATTTACTTTTATTAGCAACGAGTTAATCTACCATTGAATTTCATAGCATTTAGTGACTTCTCAGGAAACCACTGATTATGTCTAGCAACTTCTTTAGAAACTATTGTTTACCCATAGCAAAAGCAACCAGTAATTTTTACACATGCACTATTTCATATACAAATATGAACTTTATGATATCGGTTTAAGATTTAGATTTTTTATCTGCTTTTTGATTTTTTATTTGTTTATACATGCAGTTTACAATATTGCTTGTTCCTTGTCATTAAGAGTATTTATATTCAGTTGAGCGATATAAGGGCCATCATGACCCTCTTGTTTTTGTGCTTATTGGGATGGGATGTTTTCGTGAACTGTTTTGCTTAAAGAATTGTGTTTCCATTATGGTATGACTATTATTTTCTTATTTTCATTTAGATTGCCAAAAATAGATTTGATGGTGACCTTGGAATTATGACATTGAACTTCAATAAAGAAAACTTGACATTTGAGACAAAAGAGAAAAAGAAATCCAAAATGTTAGATGAAATGGAAGAGGAACAGGAAGATGAGAACTGATATAAAATTATATTACTCTACAGTAATGACAGTGGTCTTAAGCAACTGGTCTACAGCTAGCTTACAAATTGTTAATTAGTACTCAGGTGCCCGTTCCTACCTGAAATAATGCACAGAGGGGCATACAAGATCTTCATCCACCAGAAAAGCTGGCAAGTTGCCTATGACCTTTTACAGTTTTGGTGCGATGTAAAACCAAACCAAAGAAAAAATAAAGCTTCCCTTTTTCACGGGTACTGTTTCATAATTACAGACTTTATCAGAGTCTCTAAACTTGACTAATTGAAAAATAGGGAGAGCTATTGTTTTCAACCAGGTGTTGGCAGCACACATTGCTCAAGTTTTTGCATGGAAGTTGGTATCTCCAAAACTACTGAAACTTCACACAATTATTGAAGAGTAAAATAGGAGGTCACACATATAACTCTTACATGGATTTCAGGCCCTTGTTTAACTATCAGGAACTGTGAATAGTCAAGCACACTGCCCCCTACTGACAGCTCTTGTCACTTATATTAGATTTCATTGCTCTGGAAGGATTTACCAATCTGAATAGCTGGGAAATCTGCCTAGTTTTAACAGAACATTCATAAAAAATATCATGTCTTCAACTTATTGCAGGCCAGTATAAACTAGGATAGATTTTTGTCAAAATGACTGTCAAGAGAATGATCATGGTCTGTGGCATAGTTTTTCTCACTTTTACCATGTTTGTTGAAATATTTAAACAAGCATTTTGAATCTTTATTTAGTTTTTATGAGAACTGTGGTAGGCTGTCTATTCTAGTCTATTTTACAGTTTATGGAGAACAAATTAAAAAAAAAGACAAATTGTGTGTGTGAAAAGGGACATTTTCATAAAAATAGAACAAATTGTGTGTGTGAAAAGGAACTTTTTCATAAAAATAGAACAAATTGTGTCTGAAAAAGGACATTTTCATAAAAAGAGAACTAATTGTGTGTGAAAAAGGACATTTTTATAAAGATAGAACAAACTGTGTGTGTGAAAAGGGACATTTTCATAAAAATAGAACAAATTGTGTCTGAAAAAGGACATTTTCATAAAAAGAGAACTAATTGTGTGTGAAAAAGGACATTTTTATAAAAATAGAACAAATTGTGTGTGAAAAAGGACATTTTCATAAAAAAAGAACAAATTGTGTGTAAAAAGGACATTTTCATAAAAAAAGAAACAAATTGTGTGTGAAAAAGGACATTTTCATAAAAATAGAACAAATTGTGTGTGAAAAAGGACATTTTTATAAAGATAGAACAAATTGTGTGTGTGAAAAAGGACATTTTTATAAAAAGAGAACCAATTGTGTGTGAAAAAGGAAATTTTGATAATAAGAAAAATTTGTGTGTGAAAAAGGACAAGTTGTGTGTAACAAAGAACATTTATATATATATAAAAAAAGAACAAAATGTATGTGAAAAGGACATTTTCATAAAAAAGGAGAAACAACTGTGTGTAAAAAAGGGATATTTTCTTGAAATAATATGCCTCCATAAAAGAAATATTTGGGACCATATTGTTGCCATTTCTTTCATCCTTCTGTTACAGGCATATTTTGAAGAATTTGTTAAATATCTTTGTATGAAGATACAATACATAGAACAAAGTGGTTTGTGTCCAATTGTGTTCATGTCTTGAAGGGGTTTCTGTGTTTTCTCTTTAACCTTATTAAGTTAGAATTTACATACTGGTATTTATTGGTGCTACTTTATTTTAACTTAGATAGGGTACAAGTTTTACCAAGTACGAATCATTGAGGCATAAATTTGATTTTCTGCTATTGCTGGTAATAGTTTCTCCCCAACCTGTGGTGAAAATTTTAACAATCTTAACATCTAGAATTTAAAAAAATATTGATACTTACCAATTAAAATGACATTATGCCTATCTGAGTGTAATTGTTGGGTGTTCAGGTCAAAGTCCAAATAACTTCAGATTTTGCCATAATTGCATTTAATTTTATAGTCTAGTTCATGTGTATAATTATTAACCTGTGTAATCAAAGAAAATTTTATGAGTAACTATCAGAATGTATCCACTTGTGTTTTCGGATACCGTAGGGAGATACATGTATTATGGTATGATGTTGTCCTTCTGTCTGGGCCAACATCCAATGGGTTATGCACTTCATTTGGGTCATAATCTTGGTTAAAAAAATGAAAGAAACTAGACAAGCAACTGTTCAGAAAGATAATATTTATTTTCACTGGTTTTGTGGGAAATGCCACATAATGATAAAAAAAAATTGTCAATAAGCCCCAAAGTTTGGTTCATCTAACCTGTAGAAATAGGTCTTTTTGTTTTGGCTATGAAAGGATAGATAACAGTAAATTTTCTTTAATGCTATTTATTCAGTTATGGATTTTATGTGGCTAAAATGGTTAGACATGAAAGTGGCTAAAACAACAAAATGGGGTATCTACACTAGTACCCTTATGATGTGTCCCTGTATTAGCAAATATTTGGTCAAATTATTTGTTTATAACTTTTGAAGGATGTCAATGATTGTGTTCATATTTAGCGTGCATGTATGTTGTATCAAAGCACAGGTCAAGTTATTTTTTTCTATGCAATCAATTTAGTATTATGTTCGTATATGCAACTTTTCTGTAAAGTCATTGTTTTACCTTGGTTTATTACTTTCTGTAGGATTTCAACGAGTTATTATATTTCAATCTTTGTCTGTCAAGTATTTTAAACAAAAAAAAAACAGATTAGGTGTAATTTGATCCATTTAATATTGATAGAAATATGCTCCTTTTTACCAAATTGTCTTTGAGATTCATTTCATGCCTAAGGTTTAAACCAGCATGTCTTTAAAGATAAAATATACATGGATCACTGTTGAATTACTTATGAAATTTTTTTATTAAATTTAAAAACTGTAAAATTATATTGTTTCCATAATCTTATATCGATTCTCAAATGAGTTGTAACAAAGTTAACATCTGTTAAACTCAACCAAAATGAAGAAGAAAAATGGAGGAGAAAAAAACTCGCACATAAAAACTGCTAAACAGAATAAATGTTTGCAACAAAATATGATACCACTATTTTCAGTAGGTTTTTAACCATTTACAATTATATTTCATACATGTGCTCAAAAGAAAATATACCAACATATTTCCTTTTTACCTGCATTTTGGAATAATTCTTTTTAAAAATTTCAAACAAAAATTGTGTAAACTGCAGGCAGGAGCGATATAGCTTTATACACTTTAAGACTTTCTGAGTAACGCTCATGCTTAGTAATATATAAATTTTCCTTGTTTTGTGTCCTTTTAAGGCAAATTTGAATGTAATATTGGAACTTTGAAATTATGATTTTTGAACAATAGTTTTTTGTTCTGTGAAAATGAAATTAAGTAAGACCTATTTTGTCAATGATACCGAAACTTTGCAATCAGGCATATATTATATGGCACCACCTTGGTGCAGTAACATGTTAACTCCTTATATGATTTAATTAGAGGTAACCTGTTGTTGCACTAAGGTGATCATACATGGCACCACCTCAGTGGAGCTCTTGTTACAGTATTGATGTTGAAAGTTCAATTATGTATATCATTTTTTGAATGATTTTGTTACATACATGTATTGTTATACATTGAATATTTTCTACAAATATACAAATTTTATCAATTACATGTATTGTCTTATGCTCTTATTTTGGACCTTTGATCATTCCATCAATGGTTTGACTATTGAATTCCATAGCAAACAGTGACTTCAAATAGCAATTAGTGACTCTTCATAGCAACCACTGCTTTTTCATAGCCACCATTGAATTACCATAGCAACCATTTGCTTTCCATAACAATTATTGACTTCCATAGCAACCAAGGACTTCATAGCAGCCATTGTCTTTTCATAACAAACTGTTAATTTCCATAGAAACCAGTGACTTCCATTTACATTTCACTTATCAGCCAGTGACTTCTATAGCAAACATTACCTTTCCATAGCAACAAGTGAATCTAACAATGGATTTCATTGACTTTGGAGGAAACATTTTTTTGTATAGCAACCAGTGACTTCCTATAGTAACTATCGTTTTCCCTTAGCAATTACCGTATGAGCAACCATTTATGTTTTTACACATGCACTATTTCAGGTACAAATATGAACTTTGTGATATCAGTTAAGGTTTAGATTATATATCTGCTTTCATTTATAGTTAACTATAAAAATTATTACTTGTGCCTTGTCATTAAGAGCATTTATATTTAGGTGAGCAATACTAGGGCAATCATGGCCCTTTTGTCTTTTATTCTCTTCTTAACATCTTTTTTACCTTTCAATTTTTGACAAGTACACATGTCTATATGACAAATGATTTGGCATTTGACAAGAGTAAGGAATGGTATATAGCAAACTTTTAGGAAGGTTGAAGGTCACTGTTTCTGAAAATAAAATAGGTTTCCAGTTGATATATGGTTAATATTGAAATATTTTAATTAAACTGTTTGTATGTTGTTTATGGTTAATGAGGGTAAGTCTGCCTGTTAAGTACAAAGTGCAGCTTTCACTGTTGAATACTGACCCCATTTCACCAGTCATGCCCTTAAAAGGTTTATTATGGAGTACAAAGTGGTGATTATTTACCTCCATGCAATTTCCAGGGAGAATTAGCCGAAGAGAAGAATTTTGAGTCAAAGTAGGTCTCTGTACAGCATTCAATGAGCATCTAAACAAACAGTAACTTGAGACAATATGAAATGGAGGTAACCTTGATCAGGGCTATTCATGCCAAAAAAGAGTTAAGCTTTCAAAATATCACTGCATACTAGGGGCTCACGCCCTCTTGTACCCTTCCTCTTCATGTAAAGCCACTCCTGCTTCAGTTGGGACATCATGGCAGAATGGTAGACTATGGGAATTACAATTTACTACATCATCTTACTCTGCTGCGAAGATACCTTTGATACCTTCAAATGTGCCACGTTTGAATATGGGAACCAACATATTACCGATTGGCTCTAACTATAGCCAGGTGGTTCTTGTATTCAAAGCGAGGTGCATTTGAATACGGCACCTTGGGAGCCAGTTGTAAATTTGTTGAAAAATTTTGTAAATGGAGTAAAACGGCGATAATCTTGATGTTTATTTCGCCTGCTGGATGTTGAAGTTTAAAATTGACCATCATAAATCGTGAATAATATTATTATCTTCTGTGTCGATGGAGTCAAAAGGATTATACAGTATGAAAATATTGGAAATGGAATGAAAAAATAAGAGGATATTTTTTTTCGTTTGAGAGAAATATGGAGTATATTTTCACGAAACATGATAACTTTTAGTGCCACATATTTTCACGAGCAACTCGTTTTGAGTGAAAATATATACCATATTTCACGAAAAAAGAAAAATAACCTTTTTATTTAATTTCATTATCAAAGAAATAGAGGATATTGAATGAGTGTAGTTTAATACTTAATTTATTGAACAAGTTGAATAAAATCATATGCAAGCCTCTGGCGAGCATAATATTGTTTTATTCAACGAGTTCAATAAATTTAGTATTGAATTTACACGAATATAATATTCTTTTTATCACATATATATAAAATAAGAACAGTAAACTGTTAAAATGAGTAATATTTCAAGGACGCGCCTATAGTGTAACGCTTAACATAAGCGCGCTTTAATGCTATGTTTATATATAGTGCAAATGACGTCACGCCAAAGTGTTATTACACTAGTGTAATGTCGTTTTTATTACATGGCTTTATTACACTCCTGCGTCGCAGTTTATGTGATAAAAATGGTTACAAACCCCCTTGCTTGCTACGCAACTGCAATTGTACAGCGTGCAGTAATATAATTATTGTCTTGTTTTGAACGCCATATTTAGCGCTACATTGTGATGTCACGTAAACAACTCTAAAAACGTCTGTACAGCGTTAATGACTGAATTAAAGATATTGGTGTTCGGATTAATTTCCTTAGTTAGACCATTTTCTATCATTCTAGATAGTTACTAAATCGAAATTCAACAAAAAGTTGTTTTGTATTTATCACATTTTTCAAACAAAATGGTGAAAGAAGTCCCTTAAAATAAATATGAGTTTTGACTTCGCCCACTTTCGTATCTATATATCATATTTATTTTTAAAGAATATGAAATATATTTGACTGATATAGCACCATATTTCATGGGTGAAATTAAATAAATGGTGATATTGATGGTAGGTGTGCAGATTTATTCCCGCGAACATTTTTATCTTGTTTATTATTATATAGAAGTTGAAATATGAATTTTTTTCAATACGGCTTATATTAAGTTATATATATATATATATGATAAGTAGCCCGGGGTTCTATGATATCACAATACTTAACGTTTGTCGGAAAATATTTAAATATAAATGTCATAAATGAATGAGATTTTTCTTCCATCTTATAATTGAACCTTTTCCAGAACTGTTTGTCAAAAAATTATTTCAAAAGAACCAATAAGAATGACATTTTTTAGAATATTTATATTTATAATTTATATGTCTGGCATTTTGGGTAATTTCAGAGGAGGTTACTGTGGTATCAAGGTAATCCCCAAAAAAGCAAGTATGGAAGGGTCAAAAATTTCAAGTTAAGTTGTGAAAAACTTCCAACAGTTAACTTGCTATAAAATCAAAACTATATGAACAGACTATATGTCAGTTTATGTGTTTATAACATAATTTAATTGACTGTGTAAAAACCTTTAAGGAAAATGGTAGTCAAATATGAGGGTTTTATAAAATAGTTTTTCTTGCCACAAATACAATTTCATTATTCACCAAATAAAATTTATTGGCAGATGAAAATGAATCTAGTGTGCAAGTTTTACAAATATTAGCATCATCATGTGTTGCTTTTACTAGCAGTCACAGAAAATTTAAATACCTTGATATCATAGAACCCTTGATATCATAGGAACCGAGTACTCAACATCACTACTGTACAGTAATTCCGTGTAAAAATCTAGATTTAAAATATTTTGCACAAAAAAATTGTTGTTTAGGTGTATGAATAAAATTTGCCAATTCTGACCAATTTTAACACTGGTCACATGAAAATATGCCTACCGTGAAATAAGTGACGCGGAATGAGTAGTGTTGAGTATTCCTAAACTTATTGAAGGAATATATTTAGCGTTATTTAACCATGGTAGATCTTTTAAATTTAGTTGCTTTATACCGAAAAACCCGGAAGTTTCTCCGCAAATGACGTCATTCCGGTTCCTCCCAGCTGAAATTAGTGAAATACTGTTTTCATAAAACAGATTAGTACCATGGTGCTCATACACGAATAGTAAGTTTCTGTTGTGGTTTGTTTGAAGCATTTAGAACAAACGTCAATGAAAAAACAGATATGAAACTAAATCTTGCTTACAGGTCTTATTTCGACCGGCATTTTCATGGACCTTTTCACGTGGGATCGATCGAGTTTGAATTATGTTGCTAGTTATTAGTCATAGACATATAAAGAAATATTCGATTGTGTAATTCGCTTAGTTAAGATGCTTTGTGTGTGAATTTAAGAGCCATTTTGATCTCAAGTACATAGCGAACATATAAAAATTTCTAAATTTAGTTTTAAACTTTGCCCCAAACCGCCCACTTTATGGACCAAGCCATAATGTTCTAATTTTCCCAATAAGTGTGCCTTCTTACTCTTTATTTTATTCATTTAATTCTTTAATTTTGATGTGCTTATAATTAAATTGAAATGTTTATTCAAAGATAAAGGTGAAAGTAGTCCTTTAAATAAATTGTGGTGGCGCGATAGCTCAGTTAACTTAATTAGACCACTGACAGTCACTACTGTGGTCCCGGGTCTATCATGGGTAACACCCTTGGGCTTTTTGAGAGATGCTGTCCATGATTCCCTCTACCTAGAGGTGTCCTGGTAAGAAATCCTGGTAATCCTCGCATGTATCAGTTCTAAGCACTGGGCATGTATTGGTACCAAGGGGTCTATCCAATAAGAGCTAGGGACTGGTTCCTGGATTCCCATGTTTCTCACAGTTGTCTCTGAAGTGACTAGTCAAGAATCATGTCTTCATCCTGGCAAGGTGTTTGACATTAATGGTAGATAGATAGTCTGATTCAGATAGATAAATAAGATGTTTCTTTTTCTGTGACATTGCTTTGAGCTTGTGACTTCTGGACAATGCTATATTTGTCTTGTCAAAATTGTTTAAAAGCTCAAAACATTTTACCAAAGTAAAAATAATTCCCTTTGAATAAGAAACATTAACTGTCACACCTGAGAATAATGTTATATTAATTTTATTTTACATTAAAATCCTGTCATCACTTTCGTTTTGACTTTTGACACAGAGCTATATGAAAATGGAGAGGAAGCTATGGCATCATACATTTCAAATCTATATCAAGAATTTATAATCACGCAAGTTCACATTGTTGCAAGATTTTCTGAGACCATGTTTGACATAAAAATGAAATAAAGATTAAGAAGATGTAATTTATTCTCTGTAATGGATGAAAATGTCAACAAATTCTGTTATATAAAACAAGATGGCGGAATTTAATCAACTGCAAGGGCCAGTGAATCTCGCTCACATGATTGTGGGTCTGGATTTGAAAATGTTCTATTTTTAGAGCTTCTCATCCCTCTGTTATAATAGTCTCTGGTTTTGATTATCATTTACCACACAGACACCTGTTATCTGATTGGTTATTAGGAAACATAATTTAGACTGGTTATTATGAAGCATAATTTAGGGCTTATTTTTTGTCTATAGCATGGGCCTTTTATATGCCTTTTCCCCCTTAAAATTAGTTACAAAATATTTTTTTCTCTGAAAAAAATATTATTACTACATTGTATGTTACATTTCACAAAGTTTAAAGGTATGACACATTCCTCTATCTGTTGAATAAGGCCCTGGTATTTGAATGGGTAGTCCCAACAGAAGAACTATTTTTGAACCATTTTTAGCTGTCATCATGATCAACCACTAATGATATTTGCTTTTAACTTTTCATACTAATTTGAGAGCATACATGACACATGTAAGAGGCCACTATCCAAGGCCCATAACTCTAGGGAATAATTATTAAAAGCTGCTGGAGGTATTCACTTGAAACTTAATACATCACTTCTGGATCATAACTAGAGGTCACTATCCAAGGCTTAAAGCTCTATCATGGATTTCGACGGAATTATAGCCCTTTTTTCTTGTAAAAGTTAACTTTTTCTTTCAATTCTTTTGCAGCCGAGTGGTTCTTCCTATGACTGTGGAAGAGGTAAGCATTTTTTTTATAGATTAATTGCTTATTCTATTAAAATTATATACTAAGTGGGAACACTCAACAAATATACGTGATTCTTAATGATGAATTATCATGTATTATTCATATTGTCCGATTTTATTAATCCTTGCTCATTTATACGGTAACTGGGATTAGTGTGTACAATTAATAAGATTTCTATACTTAATATAGCTTTTCAGTAAAATGTCCATATAATGTACTGACAGTGCTGTAAATAAAAAGCTACATGTACTTGATGAGTTTATACATGTATTATGAAGTCTTTGTCTGGCATTAAATAGATATATATCCATAACTTAAGGTATTATACCAAAGTGGTCTGTGGGCGTCCATGGCTGAGTGGTTAAGGTGTTTGACTTCAAACAACTTGCCTCTCACCGCTGTGGGTTCGAATCCCTATTTGGACTTTGGATTCTTTCATGTGAGGAAGCTATCCAGCTAGCTTACAGAACGTTGGTGGTTCTACTCAGGTGCCTGTTTGTGCCTGAAATAATGCACGGAAGGGCACCTGAGGTCTTCCTCCCAGTAAAGCTGGAAGGTCCCCATATGACCTATACTGTGTCAGTGTGACGTAAAACCCAATAAAAAAACAACAACAAAAAACAAACCAAAGTGGTCTTGTATTGGGTTTGTAGCTTATTGGTCTTTATATTGAGGCTGCTCAGATCCTTATACATGTAAAAACATACTTTAAAAATATAGACACTTATCAGACTAGATAATCTACTCTTTTATATACTTGATGATTTTAGACTAGAGTATGTTCAATCAGATAGCAAAGTTTGAAGTACATATATTGTGAGTATAGACTGCTTTCAGTGCTTATTTTAGGGCCAATTCATTCGACTCCCCCTAAAAGTATGCATTGTTCCCCTATTTATGAAAAAGTAAAAAAATAACTATTTTTATTTTTTGAGACCTATCTTAATAGTGAGACAGAGAAGGGCATTGAAGTTTAAAATCTATTGTATCACAATTTGACTTAAAATGGATTGTTAAATCTTTTCTGAATCAGATTATCAAGTGTTTCGATGTTCTTTCTCTTTTGTATCATACTAGTACTATTCATAGGCGAAAATAAAAACATGTTTCCTGTTGCCACAATATATAACACTAGAAAAAAGGAACCGATGTACAAGCATCTGAATATGACTTTTCTATCATTATCTCTTTCCCTGTCATCACAAAAAGTAAAACCCAGGAAAAAAAAATGATCCACTGATGATGCACTGTGCATGTATTGGTATACAATTTAATTGTTTTCAATAGTACAAGTCTCCAAATTATGATACAATGAAATCAAAATCTGAGAGGCATTAGGATGTACATGTTGATTATGTTGTTAACTTGAATTATGATGACTTTCCTTGGAATAATGATGAAATTTACTGATAATCAGTTGAAACTATGATGAAATTATTTTGAATTATGACCAAGTCAATTGGAAATCCAATATAGTTAAAACAATATTGATGATGAGTTCCGGTACATGTATTAAAGTGGTAAATTAATAATTGTACAGAGGTTTTGTGGTCTGATGTGAATGATAGTGAATTAAATGTATGTTTGATTTAGTAGCATAAATATGGAATTAAGTAGAATAAAGTAATTTAAAGTGCTCATTAAGATTAAATATAAGTGAAGTTAAGCATGATTTCAATTTAAAGGATGCAAATGTAGGATGGAATAAAACTATGGCCCATGTTGTTTTATATTAATACATTTACATGCAAAGAAATTAAAGCTGCATACCTCCAGATGAACCAAAATATTTCTTGTAAATCACCCTGAGAAAATTCACTATACAAGAAGTAATTTTCATGTTACACTTTATGACTGATTTCTCAGTCTTGGAAGGGGTATTTTTACAATACATACAAGTATTCAGACCTATATATTTTTAATTATATAAAATTTTGTTCTGGTCACAATTTGTAAATTACTTACTATGTTCACTTGACAATACTTTTGAAAATATTTCATGAAAATTACCATGAATCTGTAGACATGCGGCTTTAAACTTGAGATGTGTACTGGTAAGAAACCCAGGTACATGTAATTCTCGCATGTATCAGTGCTATACACTGGGCATGTAAAAGAACCAAGGAATCTATTCAATAAGAGCTAGGGACTGGTTCCCGGATTCCCTTGTATCTCATAGCTGTGAGGTAAAGACCCTACTGGAAATAAGTGCTTGCACTTTCGTAGGTTATCCTTGACCGCCCGGTCCAAAGAAAATCAAATCAAATCAAACTGTTTTAAGACTAATATATGTATAATATCATTGATTGCAGTACCAAGTGGCACAGTTATATTCAGTAGCAGAAGCCAGTAAAGAAAATACCGGCGGTGGTGAAGGTATAGAAGTGCTCGTCAATGAACCGTTTGATTTGAACGAACTAAAAACAGATACAGATACGGCTCAGAATGATAACAAAATCTGTGCACCAGAAAAACCATTATTTGCCAATGGGAAAACATTCACTAAAGGACAATACACACATAAAATTTATCATCTTCAAAGGTAAGGAGATAAAGTTTTTGTGACCAATTAAATTGTGTGATTTAGACAAAAAATACTAAAAAGCGGAACCAAAAACATTTTTTTTTAATTTGCAAAAAAGACTGAACAAGATTTGTAAAAGAAGAGAGTTTTCACATTGTTATTCTATGTTGAATGGTAAAGCAACAGCCTGTTAATGTTTTATACACACATGACAAAACTTCTAAAGCCCCTATATTACAAATCGCTATGGTTACAGCTTGAACATTTTTATACACATAATACATAATAGTGTAACATCTTTTTTTATATTTCCTGTTTTATCACAAGATTTTTATAATCTCACATGAAAGTTAATTGAGTAATTAATATAGATGTGATACTAGTTCTCAACAATGGTCTTCTTATTTTATAACAATCTAAAAATACTGGATCAATTATTGTCAATTCTACTGTGTACTGTCTGGTTCTAATTGCTGGTTTAATATAGAAAACTCTGACCATCTTATGAGCAAATAGCTGTTATGTGACTATTTTATGCTGGGGCATAACCAACCTTAGTAGCATTCTTAAAGTCTGAAATCTCTTCTAAGAAGTTGAATGAATGTTGAGTTAGTTCTGTCTCAGCAAGCAATGTATTGATCACACGAGTACAGGTTACTAATTTTAGTAATTTACATCAAGATTTATATCACTTTTTATGAATTAGAAAATTCCAGTGGAGGTTTTGGTTGTAAGTTCTTTTTTCAAAAATATCAAAGAAATTCCCTTGAAATTTCAAACACACATGTCATTTTGAAATTTATGTCAATGGAAGGTCACAGTCCAAGACACATAACACTTGCATGGATTTTCTTTTTGTGAACACACTATACAGACACTCTTGTTCAACCATCAAGCTGTAAGAAAAGTCAATTTTAACATTGACCTTTTATTATTTAAATTTCTATATTGGGTGGGATATCTTTGAAAAATTATGAAAAGGGCCTGTAAATTTTCCATGGATAAAAAGGCAAACATTATTCACATGAAAAGCTAAATATATATATTTGTTCCATTTTATTTCAGTAAAGTTCCAGGATTTATCAGAAAAATAGCACCAAAAGGCTCATTAGAAATTCATGAAAAGGCATGGAATGCTTACCCATACTGCAGAACATATGTTTATGTAAGTATAATTATATTAATTAATATGTAACACACGTATTTTCACTTACAGCTCACTTTGATAAAAAATTGTGGATAGTTTTTTGCTCGACTATACAAAGTATATGGAGAGCTGTCCTACCCGCCCCGGCGTCCACGTCCAGATTTCAGATTAAAGTTTTGGTGCAGTAAAATATTTTTTATATAACTTTGTCATTTCTTAAGGTATCAACTTCAAACTTCAAATATATGTTTCTTATCATCAACCACATCTTATGTGACAAGGTTCATAACTCTAGCACCAATACTATCAGATTTATCTCCCCTTGAACTTAGAATTTTCCTTAAAAAATACTATTTTTAGCTCACCTGTCACAAAGTGACAGGGTGAGCTTTTGTGATCGCTTTTCGTCCGGCGTCCGTCCGTCCGTCCGTCGTCCGTCCGGCGTCCGTCGTCCGTCCGTAAACTTTTGCTTTAAATGACATCTCCTCATAAACCACTGAGCCAATTTCATCCAAACTTCACAGGAATGTTCCTTTGGTGATCACCTTTAAAAATTGTTCAAAGAATTTAATTCCATGCAGAACTCTGGTTGCCATGGCAACCGAAAGAAAAATCTTTAAATATCTTCTTTTAAACAACCCTAAGAGCTAGAGCTTAGATATTTGGCATGAAACATCTTCTAGTGAGTGTCTACCAAGTTTGTTCAAATAAAAGCCCTGGGGTCAAAATTGGCCCCGCCCCGGGGGGTCATTGATTTTCCCTATATGCATATAGTAAAAACTTGAAAAATCTTCTTTTAAAGAACCCAAAGAGCTAGAGCTAAGATATTTGGCATGAAACATCTTCTAGTGAGTGTCTACCAAGTTTGTTCAAATAAAAGCCCTGGGGTCAAAAATTGGCCCCGCCCCGGGGGTCATTGATTTTCCCTATATGCTTATAGTAAAAACTTAAAAAATCTTCTTTTAAAGAACCGTAAGAGCTAGAGCTTAGATATTTAGCATGAAACATCTTCTAGTGAATGTCTACCAAGTTTGTTCAAATAAAAGCCCTGGGGTCAAAATTGGCCCCGCCCCAGGGGGTCATTGATTTTCCCTATATGCATATAGTAAAAACTTATAAAATCTTCTTTTAAAGAACCCAAAGAGCTAGAGCTAAGATATTAAGCATGAAACATCTTCTAGTGAGTGTCCACCAAGTTTGTTCAAATAAAAGCCCTGGGGTCAAAATTGGCCCCACCCCGGGGGGTCATTGATTTTCCCTATATGCATATAGTAAAAACTTAAAAAATCTTCTTTTAAAGAACCATAAGAGCTAGAGCTTAGATATTTGGCATGAAACATCTTCTAGTGAATGTCTACCAAGTTTGTTCAAATAAAAGCCCTGGGGTCAAAATTGACCCCGCCCCAGGGGGTCATAGATTTTCCCTATATGCATATAGTAAAAACTTAAAAAGTCTTCTTTTAAAGAACCTAAAGAGCTAGAGCTAAGATATTTAGCATGAAACATCTTCTAATGAGTGTCTACCAAGTTTGTTCAAATAAAAGCCCTGGGGTCAAAATTGGCACTGCCCCAGGGGGTCATTGATTTTCCCTATATGCATATAGTAAAAACTTAAAAAATCTTCTTTTAAAGAACTCAAAGAGCTAGAGTTTAGATATTAAGCATGAAACATCTTTAAGTAAATATCTACAAAGTTTGTTCAAATAAAAGCCCGGGGGTCAAAACTGGCCCTGCCCCAGGGGTGTCATTGTTTTTAACTATATGTGTATAGTAAAAACTTTAAAAATCTTCTTTTAAAAAACCCAATGAGCTAGAACTTAGATGTTTAGCATGAAACATCTTCTTATGGGTGTCTACCAAGTCTGTTCAAATAAACAAATAAAAGCCCTTGGGTAAAAATTGGCCCGGGGGGGGGGGGGCCTATATACAGGTGAGCGACCTCAGGGCCATCATGGCCCTCTTGTTTACTGTTACTTCTTTATTTCTTAAGGGATCAACCTCATACTTGAAATATATGTACCTTATCATCATCAACATCTTATGTGACAAGGTTCATAACTCTAGCACCAATATTTTCAGATTTATCTCCCCTTGAACTTAGAGTTTTCCTTAAAAAATATTATTTTAAACTGTTACTTATTTATTTCTAAAGGGATCAACTTTATACTTCAAATATATGTACCTTATCATCATCCCTATCTTATGTTACAAGGTTCATAACTCTAGCACCAATATTTTCAAATTTATCTCCCCTTGAACTTGAATTTTCCTTGAAAAATATTATTTTTTACTGTTACTTATTTATTTCTAAAGGGATCAACTTCATACTTCAAATATATGTACCTTATCATCATCCACATCTTATGTGACAAGGTTCGTAACTGTAGCGAATTATCTCCCTATAAACTTAGATTTTTTCACTGGAAAAATGTTATTTTTTACTATAACTTTTTCAGTTTTAAAGGTATCTACCTCAAACTTCAAATACTTATTCCTTATCATCAATTACATTTTATGTGACAATGTTCATAACTCTTGAAGCAATATTTACAGATTTATCTCTCTTTGAACTTAGGATTTTCTTTAAGAAACTTCTTTACCTTTTAAGGTATCTACTTCAAACTTCAAATATATATTTCTTATCATTACACACATGTTGTGTGACAAAGTTCATAACTCTAGCGTGACTATTTTTAGAATTATTCCCCTTGATCTTGGAATTTATGTTAACAAATGTAATTTTTTTACTGTAACTTAATACATAATTATACATAATTGATTTTTCTTTCATAGTATTGTCCTCCTTACTGCGTCCAGTATTTTATTAGTCGAGCTTCGCTGTCTCCTGTGACAGCTCTTGTTTTCTTGCTTGTCTTTCTTTCATGCTAACAAAAATCAAGAATTTGTTTAACTTCCAAGGATAACGGTATTTTGATACTTCTTCTAATGCCTATCTGTAAAAACTGGTTTGATTGCATGGCTAAAAATAGTTTAATTGGAAAATCTGAATTATAAAGAAGGCAAAACATATATGGTCATCATCAGATTTACATGGAAGAAATAAGTAGATCTGAACTTTAGTCAGATTGAATTGGTACACTGTACATGTAAAATTGTTAAATAATAAAGAATTAATTCTGATATAGGTTTTAATATAAAATCACGCTGGAAAAACAATGTATGACATATTAAGTCTGTATTATCTACCTTCTTAGGTCATCCTAGGAGACAACTGTAGTATACAATACTTTGTTATTTAGTCAAATTATTATTTGATATATTCAGAGGATTAAGTAAATTTAATTAGGTATGTGTGTATAGAATATGGAGAGATTAATTGATTTAAATACACAATGTCAACCAAACATTGACTAATGATTTATGACAATTGACAAAGTGTTTTAAGTGCCCTACTTGTGACTAATTTTTGACTTCCGGTCAGTTTGTTGTAATAATGATGATATGGTTAAATAGCTTTGAATATAATACATAATCCAAGATGAAATAGGATAAATGTTGTAATATTAATAATTACCAAAGTCTGTAATTGTATGATACATTGTATCTGTGTAAAGAAATTTTATAACACCGGTAGGTTTCAACTTTTCCTTTTCGTCCACACAACACTGGTAGCTTTAGAATTAAAAGGTTAAAGGTCACATTAACCATAGCATTATGCTATTAGCTAATATAGATCAATAATCTTTCACTCGAGTCACCCAAATCTGTGCGATAGATATGCCCTGACTTGCCCTTTGTAATTGGAGATTCAGGGATTCCATTATTAAACCTCAAGAGTTTAAGAAGACTTTGTGGTTGTGTTGGTTACACTGTCTTTATACATGTGCACTGGTATACAAGTTGACTGGTATACAAGTGAACTGGTATACAAGGGCTGGTATACAAGTGAACTGGTATACAAGGGCTGGTATACAAGTGGACTGGTATATAAGTGGACTGGTGTACAAGTGGTCTGGTATACAAGTGAACTGGTAATGGTATACAAGTGGCTACTGTGAACTGGTATACAAGTGGACTGGTATACAAGTGAACTGGTATACAAGTGGATGAGTATATACACATGTCATTATCACACATGCATTGTGAGATCTGACAATGTTTGTTTCTAGCTTGAGTTCTCAATGAATAGGGAGAGCTATTTCTCAGGCAGTTGTGACGGTCACACTTTGCTAATGTTTTTGTGTGCATGTTGGTATTTCCAACTCTACTGACAGGAATAGATTGAAACTTAAAACACATATTTGAGAGCATAAAAGGAGGTCACTATCCAAGGCTCATAACTTTAACATGGATTTTGAAAAAGTAATGGTCCATTTTGAAGATAGAAATTTCTACATTATCAAGGCTCTTGTTTTACTATCAAGCACTGAGAATAGTTGAGCGTGCTGGTCTACGGACAGCTCTTGTTAGTGTAAGGACATTATATGGAATAGTTACATTATTTCAGCTGTATTAGACTTGTATTGATTGACAACAATTTTGTTTTGATTTGTTTTTCAGAATCCAGGTTATATGAAAGAAGGTTTTTACATTATGATAGAAACAATGCATTATGGGGACCGAGGTACAACAGGAAATGTAAGATCTATTATGTAAATGTTTTAGATTTATCACCAGACTTCTTATGACATTTACATAAATGTATGCAAATACATAGTCTAAAACCAGTTGTACTATCAAAGCAAAATGACAGACTATTTAGATATAGAACTTGTCTTACACTGGAAAACTTGTAATCAATATTGTTTATATGTGCAAAATAAAAATATATTTCCCCCCCTCTGAAGAATGGCCAGCTAAAGTCATTGCAACTCATATTTTATTGTAAGGCAAAAAGGATTCTATTTACTGTTACCAGTACCATAATAAATTTGTGACATTGACTTGGTTTTTGTTGAAAAGTTGTAACTTTAAAGGTTTTCCTTATTGAAGATAAAATTGTAGTGTCTAGTTAGACTGCACAGACTGGCCATGCTTAATACTGGTTATCTAACATATCATTTAAACTGTAAGGATTAATGAAATAGGAGAGAATTACATGAGTAAGCTGTTCTAATGGGTTGTTTCCCTTTCGTCTCTAGTGCAATCCATGCTTGCAGGGTTAATGTGAAGACAACTCTATTCAATGAGAGTGACACTACCCTCCAGAGTGTCACATTTGAGTTATTTACCTTTTATGATATACATTCTTTAGAATGCATTTAAGAAAATGTTAAAAAAAAAACAACAGCAAGGGAATTACTTTTCTTTCAGAATAGGCGTATGAATACAACATCAATGCTCATAAACAATGTTATGTCTCTAGTGATATTCTTCTGTTGTAACTTTCTGTTTTCTTTCCTAAGAAAACTTATAGGTACTGTGTATAATAAAGCTGTATATTTCATTGAAAACATGATTACCATTTCTATATTTCAGATACACGGGCTAGAGGGTCAAGATTTAACATCGAGGAATGTAACAACCATAGATATAGCTAATGACCCCATTAGTAGCAAGGTCAGTAAAATAATCAATATACTGGTGAACTAGTTAAGACAGTCTTACTAAATCTTGGCTTGGTGAATATTAGATAATATTATTAGATATGAAAATAAGCAGTATGCAGTTTTGAATAAGGAAGATGAAATTTCACAAAGATGTGGCACTAAATTGTTGCATCTTCTGCCATTGTCAGTATTTTAATGAACATTAATACACTTGTTACTATATAAAAGAAACAAAATTGCCAATGATTTCAACTGATTTTGAGTGTCACATGATCGATTATGAGTAACACAGGTTCGAGCTCTATTTGGTATTTTAATAGACACACATAAAAAGTGTTTAAGAAAATATTTAATTTCAGCTCAATATTGCAAAATATGTGAAATGATCTAACCCTTTAAATTGGTGGAACCAAAAGTGATTAGTCTTTGCCACCAGTATAAAATCAGGCCAGCTTGCAAGTCTGTGCAGTCTGGCAGGCTCTATATTTTTGGTGGATCAATATTAAATTTACCTTGATGTCCCCGATATTGAGAATTGATAGTCCCAGCAAGTCCATTAAACAGATTCAGCAGGTTAAGGATTTCTAAAATATTTTTTATTACAGGATTACAAGAAAGAATTTGACCCAAAATTGTTTAAGTCAGAAAAGACTGGGAGAGGTCTGCTGGTAGAGAAAGATTGGATGGTGAGTATTCAAGTTATCTTAGGTTTTATTAATTAACTTTCCAATATAAGGCACGTTTTTACTTCAAATTTAAGGCTAATATGAAGTTCACCACAACATTATGAACATAAAACAGGGCCACTATGCAAAAAGTATGGCCTTTATGAGAAATCTCTGCTATCTATTATGAGATTGGAGATTTTTGATTGGCTCTCCAGCTCCGCATTTATTATGAATCTGCCTTTTTTCTAACCACCTGAACTGGTAAAGGGTGAGCTATTAGAAATCAATGATTGTCTGTTAGTGTATAAAAAATTATTTTAGTTTGATTGTACTGGAAGATATTGAAACACTCTCGAATCCAGTCCTGGAACCAACCAGTACTTAGCAATGTGTTTAAAATTTCTTGCTTATGGTAACAACGGCTTGCCTCTGACGGGGTTTGAATCCACGCGGCCTGCAATCCTTAGATTACTAGTCGAACTCTTTAACGACTCAGCATGGTGTGCCATAATTGTTGTCTGTCCTGCAATGTTGGCTCCCATTTAAAACAGAAATACTTGCCAAAGTTAGTAAAGAAATTAAATTGAAAATCAATATGATTCTTAATTTTGATTCAGTGAAAAGCATACAAAGCTTTTATTTTTGGGTCATTTTACACAATAAGCAGGAATATTCTTAAGAAAAGGAGTGAGGCAATGATCTGAAATTTGCATGCTTAGTTATTGGTCCAGATCTACATTGAAGGGTTCACAAGTCTCAAAAAAAAAATATCTACCCTTTCATATAAAAAAAACCTTTGTGGAGCCATTTTATAATTAAATCATATCTGTGTCAATGATGTTGCCCTTTTTCTTTTAAAATAAAAGAGGTGTATCACTTATTATTTAAACAAATATTGTTCTTTTTCTTCAGAAATCTGTTGAGCCTGTGATGTGTGCGTACAAACTAGTTACGATAAAATTTAAATGGTTTGGACTTCAAGGAAGAGTAGAGAGTTTTATAAATAGAGTAAGTTTAATTGGATACATATTGCCTATTTAATTGTAGTAAAATCATTTTAAAAGTAAGAAAGATATCAGCATGAATCTTGAAATACTTGTTTGTCATAATAAGGCACAGTTGAAAGACAACGTGACTATTCTGAAAGCTATATTGTTGGAGTTATGCCCCTTTTTAATGTAGAATTTTTGTCATAATTGCCTATTATTAGTAGGATGAGTCTGATGACTTCAAATCTGTTGACTTGGAACTATCATGACAAGGCACAGTTATCCTGAAATCATTACTTTTAGGAGTTATGTCCCTCCTTAACATAGAATTTTTGTCAATGTTGCTTTTTTAATTTTTTATTTAATTAATTTGGAACTATCATGGCAAGGCACATTTGTAAGACAAGGGACATTATCCTGAAATCATTACTTTTAGGAGTTATGTCCCTTTTAAACTTATACTATTTATAAAAATCAGTTATTGATAGTGATTGCCCTTTATAGACGAGAGTTAACACTCCATGCAGTGCTCTTGTTTAATATCTATACATTTCTTATTCATAATGTACATTTATATTTTCAGCAAGAACACAGATTATTCACAACATTTCATAGACAAGTGTTTTGTTGGACAGATAAATGGTATGGAATGACAATGGCAGATATACGAGCTATAGAGGAGGCCACAAAGAAAGAATTAGATGACGTAAGTGTTTAATGTGTGTCTCATAGGATGAGAAAAATGTGCAGCTTGTCCAGGTCTTAAACCATTGATCTTCAAAATAGGTCTTGCAGCTCTTAACGATGTAGCTTCATAACTGCTTACAGATATTCCTCTCTAATAATTATTGTACTTATACCATGACATTATCTCCACATGTATTAATATCATATAGAACATTGGATTCTGAGCTTAAAACTATTATGGCCCCACATTAAGCACAAGAGGAGAAGCAAAGAACGATGTGCAATCTGACCTCAACACAACCCTAGGTCTTTTGGAACACCATCCTGGCTGAGCTACTTGACTACTTAACACATTTTCATTTAAGTTTATGATCAGTTCCATACTATAGCATATTCCCCCTATGTATTGAATATGAACCACAAATTTCTATTCAGGAATAGAAAACATTTACATTGACTAAGAGGTAAAATCTGTTGGGTGCCACATGTAGCAGGGTGAGAAAAAATGTCCCGTCTGACTTGGACCAGATCCAAGGATTGTGGGAACACCATTTCTCAGTACTTCAGAGATACATGTCTGTTAAGAATTTTGAATTATCTGTTATGTATCATAACATGTGAAATATTGACTTATTTCCAATTTGAACAACATCTGAAAGAATTTTTTCTTAAACTTACAGCAGCATGCCTCAAGATGATTGAAAATATTTCAATGAATCAAACTTGTTAAAATTTACTAAGATTTTAGGCAAAGTAGAAAGATTCAAGTAATAATTTACATGTTATGAGCGATTATTGGTGAATTTTTCCTTATGTGTAACTATATTTCTACTGCGTTACTAACGCAGTAAGGGCATGTTTTGCATATTTTGACCTCTTTTTGTAATAAACGTGGGTTGTAACTGCCATTAATAATGTGTAAAATGATTCCTTTTGGTTACTATACAATAATATACATTTAATTTAATTTTCAAAATTTTCATGAAAATAAGCATTTATCTGGAGGCATGCTGCTTTAAGAGCAATTTTCCTGGTACTGTTTGAAATTGTAGTTCACATTATATATTGTATTTATTTCAGCAAAGACAGCATGGTGAACTTCGGGGAATGAAAGCTGAAGATTGATGTATGGATAAATACCTAGGGCAGCTTACAGAATTACGTGTGTACAAGTGGAGAAGTTGTTGTGTTTTAGTTAGACCTTTGGTACTGTATGTACGGAGGTTGTTCATGATCATTACCTCCCCACCTTGTCTCACAGCCTTCAACTTGATCTTCTCTCTAGTGACTATAACATTTCCAAACTTACAGAAAGAAAAAATCTTGATAATTTCATAATTTCTATGTTTATTTTACAACAAATTAGATTATAATGCTTAGTCTTGGTTTTAAATTTTTTGTATGCAATTCATTAACGTAAAAGATATATTTATAAAAAAAAGTGTGGACTTGATTAGGTTGTTTCTGTTTGAGAATTTTACATTTAGTTTAGGGTATCCAGTTTTAGGAAGCAGAAGTACTCATGTTGTTGTACGGTCAGTCAGTCCTTCCATTTAATCTATATCTAGTGAACTTTATAGTCATATCAAACATGTTGTCCGCAATATCTTGTGATAAATTTATTCCTTGAAGTAAATAAACTTGTTATATAACTCTGATTTCAACAGGAACAAAATCACACAAAGAAATAAATGCATGTTTTTTTCAAACCTAACTATATGTCATATATTAAATAAAATTTAGCAAAATTTAATGCCCTCTGTATCCTAATTTTGTTTGTATGATAGAAAAAAGAACATGATCAGCTTACGGAAATTATATGTTGATAGAAATTCTAAAAATGCCCATGAAAATCTAACTTCAATGGGCCATGTATGGTGAAGAATACAAAAATATCATCATCCCACTCTTTGTTAATTATGTTTTAAAGCTTTCACATTTATTTTTCCCTTTTGGAAAATACAAAATAACTGAATTTGCTTGTTATTTATAGGTACTCTTCTTTCTTTTGTTAAAAAACTCACATGATGTCATCACATGATGTCAATAGATGTCATCCATAATTGTTTGTGATTTTATGCACTTTGTGTAGAGAAAAGTACAGTGTGTTATTTTTATAATTTTATTAGGAATGTAGAGAAAGTTGACAGATGTTTTGTTTATAAAAAAAAAGCTGGTCTCTTGCTGTTGTTGTTGTTATAGTTTGTTTCCCCATTGAGAATACTTTTTGTATCGTGCGTTCTTTGAGACTATCCCTGCCTCTGTTATAATACTGTTGACTGCTTTAGCTATTTGGTTATATATTACTGGTAAAGTCATAATGCTTTATATTAAGTCATATTTCTGTTAAAACATTCCATAATCTAATGCCTTAGCATTTTCATGTTTAAACTTCTTTGTGAGTTTACTGAAAGCAATTTGTCCCGAATGAGCTTGACAGTTTACTAAGAGAACTATATTTTGAGATAAGTGACCTCCATGGCACGAGTAGTTATAGTTGCTTACTTTGAATTACTGGCTCCTTACCACTAGGGGAGGTTCAAATCCCAAAAGGGATATGCTTCTTCCACGTGAGGACTGTACATCTTGCTAACAGAAGGTCAGTGGTTTTTATAATGCACATAGGATTTTTTAAGGTCTTCATTCACCAGGAATTGCTGAAAAGTTGCCCTATGACCTTCACAATGTCAATGCCACTTAAAATCTAATTAAAATGTTTTGAGCCAAGTAAGGCACAGATATTCTACTGTTTAAACATGGTTTGATTTGTACTGTTGGTTTTGTTTATATATTTCTGATGGTCTATTTCTAATTACATACCATGATTTTATAATGCAAACTAGATTATTACAACAAATTGTAAACAATTTATTGTAAAACTAAGAAAGGGAGACAATCACAGCAAGAGAGCCAGTGTTGTATTTTCTTTATGTATATACACTTTATTTACACCAATTTAATTCACCTGAGGTTATAGGTGAGCTATTGTGATCAAAAATGTTTGTTGTCTGTTTCATATGTATACTTAACCAACAACAACTTGCATTTTTTTTTGTACAAACAAAATGGAAGAAAAAAAATGGAATGAGCAATCCAGGGTTATAATGACCCTATTGTTATTTTATTTTGTGCGTTTACCTCATCATATTTATATTCTATACTTCATAGATCATCATATCTTACTGTGTGAGATTTACATTCCTTACAATGCTGACAAGTATAATGACTTGCCCAAGCACCACCAGTATAAAGTCATAGGAGAGCCAACTCATTAGTGAAGTCTGACCTAACTTTATATTGCTGGCTGCAATATAGCCTTTTTTGCGTCGGGAAATCAAATATAGTGACAATGGAAAGTTCCATTGTTCAAAGCAGGGCAAAAGGGGGCAATGAAAAATTCCATTTTCTAAGCCCAGCAATAAAGTGACAATTTAAAGTTCCATTGTTCAAAGCCGGGCAGTAAAGTGACAATGAAAGTTTCATTGTTCAAAGTATGTCAAGTAGTGACAATGAAAAAATTCCATTATAAAAGCCAGGCAATAAAGTGACTATGGAAAGTTCCATTGTTTAAAGCAGGGCAAGTACGTTATACAAATTCAGCAAGATAAGGCTTAAAGCTACACATCTCCAGATGAATTTACAAATTTTCCACACAAAAAAAATCACTATTTTTTATTGAGAAATAAATGTTAGTTAAGTGTATAAAGCTATATATCTGCTGGGTATATTTAAATTGTTTGAATTTTGAAAAAAATATACTTCCAAAAGAAATATGTTAGCATATATCCTTAAGAGCCAATGGTACATTTGCAAAATCATAGCTAAAGGTTAAAATCATCCTTAAAATAGCATAATATTTTGTTCAGGAACATTTTTTTCTGTTTATGCACAATAGTCATGTGTACAGTATTTAATAACAGTGACAGTTTATGTAAAATATCTGCGGGAATGGAACATAATAATTTTTTCTAAAAATATATTCTATAGAAATATTTTATTAGATATAACTTTATACCATTTAACAATCTAAATTGCATTGCATAATATGATTGAATTTGCTTAGTTATTACCATTTTCTCTTACATTGTTACTTAGGAAATACAGACTTTAATTGTATATTTCAACATCTCACATTTATTTAATTTTTATGAGTTTTTAAGTTCCTAAGGCTAATATATTATATTATAAATTTATTTGTGTACTTGACAAAATTTTTACTATAGGTAACAATTTCTAAATTTTTATGAAAATTTGCATGAATTTAGGAGTGTGTAGTTTTGATATATTGTTGAGATATGTGTAGATTTTTTGTTGAAACATATTACATTGTAGTTAACATGATCTACATAGCAGTTAACATGATCTCTTTAATGCCTTATTTGATCACTATGGCATCAAGGAACAGATATGTTAATGCATAAAGGGTACCCTTACATTCTATACCTTTACAAATTTTTCACCAAGAATAAGGCACCAAAATTTTTGTTCTCTGTAAATTGCCTGAATTCTTCATCGTCTTTTCATTTTCACTCCAATATATTATTACGAAGGCTTTGTGCAAAAGGGTTGTAACTTGTATTAAATAAGGAAGGAGTTACGACCCTTTCACACCAAGCTGTCACACCAGGCTTAATTGTTGAATGTTTTGTTTTTCTGGCTCTAACACTGGTACATTTACTTGTTTCTAAAGTGCTAATATTTTGATGCTTTGCTGAACTAATATTTGTTAAGGCATTTCTGGTGATAGATAAACAAATTTACATTATACAATAGTTTTATATTAATTGTTTTTTCATTTGAACGGCCAAGTTGATAAAATTGTTTGAATTTTAGTATTTATACAATGCTGCTGTGAAAGGAGGGATGAAGTTATTAGGGGTAATATTAACATCCCCTTCATAAGACATACCCTATGTTTAACACTGGAATATAAGTACCAGTTACAACCATGATCCAATTTGTGTTTTTGTTGATTTTTCTTCATTTATCATTTAAACTCTTCATATAAATAATTATATATTTCTCTAGTGTTTGAGATTTTCATTGTAGGATTTTGTTTTTAAATTGATACGTTTTTTGTTGTTGTTTTTTTTTTTACTAAATTTCAATATTTGTAGGGGAAATTTAGAAATGATTTTGTTAGTCATTTTTTCCAGTACATTTCTATGATGTATAAACATTTACTAAAATGAAGATTGCCATTTGGAAATGCATTGTAATCTTTGTCAAAATCATGTAGTAATTTGGTTACTTTTGATAATTCATTTTGATTCTTTTGATAATGAAATGTAAGTAGTTATATTTGTTATTTTCTTATTTTTTATTGCATGTTGTTGGCTCTTTATACATAGCCAAACATTCATAGTCAAAATATTTTATTTTAAGAGACCACCTTTAGGTAAAAGCCACAATCACAAGGGAGGTCATTTATAGCCACTGTTTTTCTGTACTGTATGCTCAGGTAAAATGTACTTTACCTGTATTGTGTATTATAAAATATAAAATATTCTAGCATTAAGGGAGTATAAATTCTAGCAGGAATGGAAAATAAAGAAGACCATTAAAATGGCTGTCAAAAAATTCAAATAGTTTAAAATGCAACCACAATTGTTAAGTTTATACAAATTTGAAACCAATTCCAGTTACAGTACTGGTACTGAACGATGAATATACAGTTTCCTCACTTGTCAACTAGTGCTAGTGGAGTAAGTCCCAAAGTTAGCATCAACGTGTAAACAACGGCAGACAGAGAAACTTTAGAAACACCTGTTTCTAGCAAAGACTAGAAAAAAAAGCTGTCGGTCCATAGTTAACTATAGTGTTATTTTTAAATGTAAGTACTCATACAATGTATCATTAGATAATATAGGTACACATTACCAGTCCCTGATTAAAAAAACTACTTTTTCTGATCAATATACAAATATTTATGTATTTATTGTTTTGCTCATATTCCTCAACTTGTGTTGTTGTTAATAAGTATTTTAATTTATATTTTCATCTTGCGACATGGGTGGTGTTTATGTAAATCATGTGTTGATATTTGCTTCACTGTCATTCAGTCTATACACAAAAAAAATAAAATTATTCAAATACTGGACATCTGCTGTATACATTGCTCATTTTTTGTTTGTTTTTATTTTTAATACATTGTATATGAAGAAAAATATCCTGATATAGTCAACTGTTGTTTAAAATGTTATGAAGCTCCTGAGGCCTGTCTTATCAAGTATCCTTATGTACGTACGTGAATCATACGATTTTGGCGGTGTTTTATCAAATGCCGCAGATATCCTTAATCGTACTTTATGGTGAAATGCTGTATTAATAATGTACAATTTGTAAGAACATCATATGTAAACAGCTAATTTAACCTTACATTGGTGATATTTAAGGGACCGTCCGTGACGGAGTGGTTAAGGTCGTTGACTTCAAACCACTTGCCCCTCACACCACATCAAGTAGGGGACTTTTTAATTCTTACAGCATCGAGCTTACGCAAAGTCAGTGGTTCTACTCATTTGCTTAATCGTGCCAGAAATAAAGGACGGAGGGGCACCACCCGAGGCCTTCATCCACAACTAAAACTGGAAAGTTGGAATATTACCTTAACATTGTTGGTGCGGCAATAGTGATATTTAGAAATAGTTATTCTACTGTGTTGCGCATGCTGTGTATTTATGATGGTAACATCGGTTAATTATGTCATTTTGATTGCAAACTAAGCTAGTGTGGATAATTGTGTATGTGTGAGAATAATACAGTAATATCTATGTATTTTATTTGGTGTTGAAAGTTTCTACCAAGTCCAAATTTCTGGTTCTTATCGGCACCTAAGCGTGCCTGAAATAATACATAGAGAGGCACCTGAGGTCCTCTTCCACCAGTTAAGCTTCAGCATTGACCTTAACAATGTTAGTATGACTTAAACACAACCAAACTGATTGACAATGTGTGCTAATCTATATATGAAATGGAAAAACAGTTTATTCACAAAGTCCATGAAATATTGTTTCAGTCTTGACTGAATATTTGCACCACTACTGAAAATCTAACAAATAAGGATAACGGTTGGCCTATGGCTATTTAGGGTACAGCAGTTGCTGGGCCGTTTAGATACGTCTGTGGCGGAGCAAGGTTGTCTAGTACTGGTGTAACTCTCCAGGAGCGATGATAAGGAAACTACTATATGACTGAAATACTGTTGGGAAAAGGCGTAAAATGAAACAAACAAACAATACGTATGTGGTCGTGTGGTTAAGCTTCAAACAAATTGTCCCTCACCGCTGTAGGTTCGAATCCCGCCATGGACTTCGGATTATTTCATGTGAAGAAGCTATACAGCAAGTTTATGGAACGTCGGTGGTTCTACTCGCGTCCGAAATAATGGACGGAGGGGCACATGAGGTCTTCCTTCACCAATAAAGCTTGCAAGTCGTCACATGACATGTGCCGTGTTGGTGCTAGTTAAAATCCATCGAAAAAAGACCGTTAACATCCCTTAGATGATCTTGTGACTGATATAAAAAATAGAAATGGATCTGGATTAACCTTATTAACATAATATAACAAGATATCTTTTCACTTGTACAACATGTAATTTTTGATCTAATACACGTATACATACACATTTATTACATTCTGGATCTAACATTATATATAGCCAAGGTCTAACATAGATACCATGTAAAACCAACCTAAAATGTAGTTCATAGCTACGAAATAAATACTTTCGCAAATAGGTATATTCATAATATACGAGACAACACTATTTTACTAATAAAAAGATATGTAAATCGGGATTTATCTTGATTTTAAAGATTTTAAGAGGTTTCATTGTGCTCCGAGACTTATCACTTTGCCAACCATTCCCTGTAAAAAAATTCAAGATTTTTCTTTAACGGTGATAGAAATATCAAATATATCTTTTAAAGCATTTTTAGCACAAATGAAACCCATTTCTGTTTAATTTTGTCTGTTTAGCATAATCAGTGTTTGACGTGTTAAAAACAGTATTCAAATAAGATTATCTGGGACCAAAATTTAAATTATCTCAAAATGTAAGAACTGACGCATACCACGTCACCTCCCAAAATCTCCGTAAACTGTAACATAACATTTTAACCATTTGAATATTCCTTATGTGTCTGTATGTAAAAAATAAGGACAATTTACAATCAAATATCTGCAATCAAGCTAGATTTGTGCGATTCTGATACCACAACTAGGCAGCACATGAAAACCCTTGATTTGAATTTGTAACGAAATGACCTTCAATGTGTCTTAAGGACAATAGTACAGCAGGTAGCGTACTCCTATAATTGATCTCCATTTTGAAACACAATGTCTCAGTGATCTCCAGTAAAAACTGGCACACTCACGAATCGTCAATAGGAAACTGACCCATTCACGGGAGTTCCAAGTGGAAACTGGGCCCACCAACTCATCGTTCTCAAGTTGGAAACTCGCTGACTCAAGGAACTAAAGTTAAAATTGGCCGACTCAAGGATCTCCACTCACCGGTACTCCAGCTAGATAGATTCTAATTAGATGCTCAGACATTTTAATGTAATGTCAACATATTTTAAGGGTTTTCAGATGTAAATTATTTACAGAAACTTTCATTGTATTTCCTCAATGTCTCCATGGAAACACGATAATATTTTCGAAATTATTCAAAAACGTACAAAGCACGCGTACACACATTCACACACAATATATTTAAAATATTCGCTGATGAAAAGATGAAAAGTTGTAATAAATATATGCATTACGAATACTAAATTAAACAAATGTATAATTTGTTATTGGAGTATTAAAATAGAAGTTTCTTGTCAATAATTGGCACCAGTGGAATGTGGTTATATTTTGGTAAACTTTCTTATACATGTCTGTCCTCCACCCGTCAATGTCTGCAATATAAAATATTTATAATAATATTTCAGATAAATGTTAAAATAAATCTCATATCAATACACTGTATGACCCCTCTAATGCATTAATTCGCTTTGAAGGGTATTCAAATAGGCTAGAATTACAGTACTGTCAACTGCATTGAAACTGAAGAGCGTGGATTCAAACCACAGAAGAGTCAACATTACATTTATTTCTATTATCTTTAAACTTTATTACTGTATCTCTAAGATCCCTCTTGGAAAGAACAAAGAATGTTTAATTGTGTTTATATATTAATTCTTATAAGTAGTTATTGGAAAAATTATGATAAATGTAATAACAGATTTGGTACCTTATATTTTCAAAGTCAAATAAGATCAAAACTACAAGGTAAAGGTATTTAATATTTGACAAGATCAACCAATATACGTTTAAGAAAATTTAGGCATACTTTGAAAACAGCCTCTCATTTTGGTAAGTTTTTGGGATATTTAGAAGTAGGAAAATAGTCAAACAAGTGTTTTAATTGGGTTGGGTAGGGTAACATTTTATACATAATTCAAACATTTTGAGTGAATCATTTTGCTTGTGTGATTTGTTAGCCAATTTTTTTTTTAACAATGATCAATAGGAAAACATTTAAATTATTTAGAATTCCTCTTTTAAGAGAAATTTTATATGATAAATAATAGGTAGCAACAAAGTGGATTGGTCAATAGAATATATTCGACGCATTGTCAACAAGTATTTCAAATGTTGATAAACGAATACAAATCTACCATTTTGATATTTATTTTTGAACTATTTCTTTTAAAAGGTTGATAAAGTTCTAAACGATTATCATGGACATTTATATGTTGAAAAAATATACTTTGTTGTAGAACAATTTATTATTTGCAATACATGTATATAGATATGTAATACTAAGCTCATGTTTATCGCCATTACAAACATAATTATGGTATCACAGACGTTCCTTTATAAACCAATTCTATTTGTTATAAAGCTTATATGATGAAATTCTACTAATTTAACAGGATAAAGTAAGATTTTTTACCATTGTCAGTGTGTTTCCGTCTCCCTTTCTAACATGAGTACATTCAAAACCGTCACCCTTCTGTTTCTCCACCAGACTGTCCCCAGCAGTTGTAAAAGTTACCTAGTAAAATTAAAATGCCATAGCATAATAATTTATCACGTGATATATCGCAAGACAGAAAAGTTTCAGTATTTCATCGTAAGATATATGTAGGCTTGTTTATACCACATAACTTCACTAGCTGCCAATACAGCATAATCTATTTGCCTGGAATTTAGCTGTACACAGCAACAGACTAGATCGTGGTTGATTTGTGCCATGTCGTTTTTTCGTTCCGCTGGCCGCCAGACGAATCATGCCTGGCGAGCCTAAGAACGAAAGTCGACAAAGTGTATTTTCATGTTTTTCGGAGCAAAAGGCGAAAATACGAAAAAAAAAACACAACTGATCACTGTTGTATTTTCGTGTTTTTCTATGTCACCCCGCGGAGCGTATAAATCAGCCATCATAGCAGAATTTGCAATTTTTCGTTCAACTTTGTCAGAGACGTTTAAATGCAACATATGCATGACCGAACATTACAAAATATTTGAAACACGTTGATAATTATAGAATTTCGTCGATGATACAGAAATCAAGTATATTTTATCTAGAGTGAATATGACATGATTCGTACTAAAACAATGAATTATATCACATCATATTTATAAAAAAAATCATATTAGTATGATAATAAAATGTATAGAATTAAGCTCTATGTTGGTGGTAACTGTCTTGGAGTTGTTTTGCATCCCTCTTTCACTATGAATTGGTATACTAATTATGTATATAAAATGATATGTAACACGGTTGGCTATATCCTTGGTCACTATAATAGACTTAAATTAACCACAAAAGTAATCATAAGCCCGCAACCGGTCGATGTTATTACTTGTTCATACATTCGTTTAATTTTTGTCTGTTTGAAGAGACTACTCCTAAAAAGCCCTATATACAAAGGATAATACGAATTTTTTTACCAACCCTCGTATTAAAATTGCCTATATTACTTAATGATATCTAGAATTTACGTCAATTGATACTAGACAAAAAAGCAAGGAATGATATATTATTTTTGACGATTTTCTGGTACTTAGTAAAACTAAAATTCAACCATAACTTCAAATATGTATATAAACCTTTATTTGGCGACCATCTAAAGTCATGGAATCAAATTCTTTCCCTAACGAGAACTGTACTGAAAGTTCTTTGCCAGCAGAACACGTTGTCATCGTCCAATTATCACCATCAGCTTTAAACTCTTGGCTCATGTCAGATCCTGTAGACAGGTATTTGTGTGCGTCTGCTCGTTTTTCATCAGAAACGCCTGTAAATAAATATATGAGCCGCGTCACGACAAAACCAACATAATGGGTTTGCGACCAGCATGGATCCAGACCAGCCTGCGCATCCGCGCAGTCTGATCAGGATCCATGCTGTTCGCTATCAGTTTCTTTACTTGTTATAGGGTTTGTAAGCGAACAGCATGGATCCTGATCAGACTGCACGGATGCGCAGGCTGGTCTGGATCCATGCTGGTCGCAAACCCATTATGTTGGTTTTGTCATGGCGCGGCTCATATTAGGTTCTATCAAAAGTATAGTTTGCATTGATAATGGTCCGAGAAACATCTGTAAATAAATAAGATTGTCTCAAAAACGTATAAATTAACATTGATATTATCCTCTGAAACAACTACAAATGTAAGATTGTCTCAGAAACGCATAGTTTGACATCGGTCATTTCCTAAGATACGCACGTAATCATATAATGTTTTATATTTGACATTGACCTCAGAAATAACTGTAAATATGTAAAGTTGTCTTTCAACCATATAGTTTTACATTTACATGTTGTATATCATCCCCAGAAGAATCATTTTCAGTATATAAGTTTGGCCAAAAAAAAAAACGTTTAGTTTTACATTGATATTTTCCCCAGATTTCATTTGTAAAACTAGAAGGTTTTGTTTGTAGGGTTTCTCGGCTTATTCATACATTACTGGCCATACCGCGCCGAACAATATAATTGTAAACATTTGATTATTAACACCCCCCCCCCCCCCAAAAAAAAAAAAGTTATAAAATATAAGGTATATAAAATGAGTAAGTAAAATCTTAGAATGCATGTTTATTTCTTAAAAGTAGTCGACCAATAATTTTTGTGAAGGAACTGAGGCAAAAAGTTCAGCAAGTGAATTTACTCGTTAATATCTATTACGAACCTGTGCAAGGTCATGGAATTCAAGGAGAACATGGTTGACAATAATATATTCATTGCAAGCTATAAGATTAAAAAGGAGCATCATAGCCCGTTAAAAGGTGAGAATGTGTAACACTACGTCACCTTAATTCCAGAGTCATATAACTCGATTTTTTTTGTTTTGAGAAAAACGTTTTTAAAGATTGAAATGTCACCAGAACTCACATAAATTTACAGATTTTTATGATTTTTTGTATACTCTTTTGTTTTTATATAGACTCACATTATCCTAAATATCAAGTAAATTCAAAATAAAACAAATTGAAAAATGCACAAAACATATTTCAAAATTTCCTTTTATTTTACTTTTTCTATGAATAAATTTAATTCCAGAGTCAGCTCCGAACTTAGCTGCATTTGGCTCTAAAATTTATGTCAAAATTTATTGATATATGACTTTGGAACTTAAATCTTTTGTCTTCGGGACAATGTAAACTGGATTTCGGATGGAAACATAAACCAGAATATTCATGATTTACAAATTTTATTATTTTGAACTGAACACTTAACTGCCATCAAACTAAATGTACATTTTCTTACGCAAATCCGATTTACAAAAGATAATGTTTTCTTAAACAATTTACAAGCTTGAAACATCTATGATTAATATGACAACCACTATAATTATAAATCAAAACAGTTTGATTATGACAATGATTGTCTACCGCAAATGCAAGCTAGTAAAACATTGTACTTAACATGATGTAACTTTAGCGCAATTTACAGATACTGTGCCAAAGTGACTATTACATCTTTTACAATAGCAGTATAGGTATTTTTGCTATTGATTACTATAAAATCATTAAAAACAATACCACTTAAATGCTTTGCTGTAGTACATCATTACTTAACATAAAATATTGCAATAACAATATCAACTTCGACATATCATTTTTTCAAAACATGAATTAAATTTCTGATTTTTTAACACACAAAAACAGTCAATTAAAATAAAACAATAAACTGTTTATAACATGAGAACAATTTTCAGGGAAAAAACTGAACTATTGTGATACTGTCAATTTTGTATTCTCTTTTTTAAGTTATTATCAAGCATTTAGCCATATAATACTGGCTATCAATTTGGCTCATATATTTGAGCATACTAGTTAAGTCTTTCTTTTTCAGACTGCTTATTACCGGTTTCTTATGACTTGAAACTGGTAATGGAATTGGTAAAGATAAGCACTGTCGGGCGTTGCGAGTCGCTGATCCAGTCAATATTACCCCATGTCCAAATTCTTGTTCAGTAAACGACAATTTAAAACTTATACCCATTTTATCGTTTCGTGAGTATTTTAAGCATTTGACCTTTGTGTATGGTACACTTCCAAAATTTAAAGTATTTGTGACTTTTTGATAGTCATAAAAGTGAGGAGGTCGCATTTGTATCACTTTAAATGGTCCTTTCCGTCGTGCATCGATTGATTTTAAAAACTCGAACCAATGACACTGGACTGAAGACCTCGGAAACATTTCAGGGCTTTTTCTATGTTGCTATGTGCATTATCCACTTCCTGGATCGCTGAATGACCTGGACAGCCAAATTTTTGTGTGATTGAATGTATGTTATGCGTATTCATAAAAGTCTTAAGTGCAAAAGTCATTATCGAATTACGATTCTGAGGTACACAAGCGTCCGACCAAAGGATGTAGTTCTTGATTCCAGGATGAACTGAATTAATTTCATGCAAAATGTTTACAAGAGCACTTGCTATTTTCATTTCCGCCTCTTCCAGCGTCTGCCTCTGTCCATATCGCGTTATAAACAGCTTTGTCAACTGAACAATGTGCAGTGAGATTATAGGTATTTAACTTACGTTTATAGAAGAAGTTTGATATATCAGCTCTTGGTAAGGCAATAACATTTTCAAGGTCAAAGCAGATTGTTGCTGTTGTTGGGTCATCTAGATTTCTATCAGTGTCTCGTTCTGTTTTTGTGTCACCCTTGTCAGATTTATGCTTCTCAAATTTAGCTCTAGTTTGCTCATTCACTGTTTTCTTTGTTTTTAGCTTTCGTTTCAATTTCCTCACATAAATCACACCTGTCCTTTTTAGGAATGTAAAATGAAAGATTAAAATCTTTGTTAAAGATATCTCTGTACTTTGAAAACTTTACTGGGTTACGATCACATTTAGCACATTCTGCTTTATATAATTCATACATCTTTGTCCTATTCAGATTACTTTCAAGGTACTCCTTAATGCTTTTACTTCTGCAGTAATGTGAAGGAACTTTATTGAAGGATCGAATATGTTCTCTTACAAACTCAATATCATTTTCAGAAATCCTAGATGTAGTGTTCCGACCACGCATATCTTTTAGTTCTGTTTTCTTGTCAAGTTTTTCATAGTACTTTCTTACACGAGAGATGTTAATACCCAAAACTCCTCTGTAGAAGTCTTGACATACACGTATCTTTTCAGAACCTTTCCTGAAAAAATATTGAAATGTATACTTTCTCCTGGATTTACTATCATTCTTTGTATTTTCTTCTTTAGAGGTATTGTTACCTGCTGTTCTTTTCTTATTTCCTTTTGTACCTTTCAATATCCTTTCTGTAGTCTCAGCGTAAAACAACATCTTTGTGTCATCATCATGGGACCAGAACTCTGAGTGTATATTATCTGTGTCCTCATTACTGAAACTCCATGAACATGCATATCTGCATTTACCTTTACAATCTTTGTGATTCTGTTTCAACTTTTTTGCCATGAGTGTTCCTCTAGAACTTATGTACTCCAATCCAGCTTGCCGCCTGCGTTTCCTGATATTCTTCTTCCAGGAATCAATCTGTTTAGTTCTTGATCTACTTCGTTTAGGAGAAAGAGTGGGTATATCTCCTTCCCTTTCTAATATTATGTCTTTATCTGGAGTTGTTTTATCATCATGATTATTATTCACATCGACATGTTCATTTTGAGTCGGTAGTGTTTCTTCAGATTCCTCTATGTAGTTCAGGTTGGCAACTTCATTGTAGTTTATGTTTGCAACTAATGTATTACTTTCTTCAGTTGCTGATGTCTTAGTCATATCATCTTCCTTTGTTTCACAAACATCTGTAGCCTGGTTAAATTTGGCCTGTTCAATGTTTATCAGTGTTTCGTCGCATGTTGCATTACTTTCTTCTAGACTTTGACATGCTTTCTTAAACTCAGCTGCATCCTCTGCATAAATTTCAATTTCAACGAAATCATTTGGGTTGAAAGAAGTGTCAGAAAAAACAGATATGTTGTTATTTGATTCATCAAATGATTGTACTGCCTCTGTAGGTACTTCTGTCATTTAAGCATTTTGAAAATTATCATAAATCTCATTTCCGTCATCATAGTCATCAAGCATTGACAGAACCTCGTGAATGTTCAGTCTACTCATTTTGTTTTTAACGATAGAAATGCTCACACTTTTATATGTGTTATAAGTTAAATGTATAACTTCATTTCAGGTAAATATGGAACTGTGTGTCAATGAATTAATCAATTATCTGGTGGTTAAAGTCTTGTGTCTCGATATCCGCTTTTAAAGACAAACTAAAGGAAAGCAGGCTACCAAATATTGGGGAAACAATCGTTTTGCACTCGTGAATATCAAACTCTACACCACATGCGTCTAAAACTATGACCTGTTTTCCAGTTATAATTTCACTTAAAGTTTTAGGTTTTATGTCTGTAAATGATACATATATTTGGTCTAGTTCCTTACAATCACGAAGGACAAGGAAATCCTCATCACGTAAATTGTAACATCCTGTTAAATTCACAATCTGCAAATTTGGTATATACTTTATAAAGCTTAATGTTGAAATCGGAACGTCAGTTAGGCAGATCCAGTATAAGTGTCTAGCTGGTACAAATCTAGTTAAGAATATGAAATCAATATCTGGAGCAGGACAGTTGATAACAGAGCCTTGTGGTAAAAGAAAATAGGTAAAACTCGCTGCATGATTCAGTATCTCACATAAATCACCATATTTCACATTAAGTTCCCAATCAAACTCAAAATGACGCCACAGAGAAGATTTGGTCTTGATTAGATCATTCAGTCTTTTGCACGTCCTATTTACA